TTGTAAGCAAAAGTTCTGGCGTATCAACTGCACAAATTAGACACAGTTCTGGCAGTAAGAGAGTTAATTGGTGTAAGCCTTTATTCTCAAAACTGATGCCTGTGAAAACTTCTTCTATCTTTTAAAAGCTAGAGCTAGTCGTTGAATGAAGTTTTTAATTCAGGTTGTTAAGTATATGCTGCAAGTTCTTCCTTCTTTTTAAAATGCTTTATGCCATAAAATCAATGTACATTTAGTTTTTATATAAAACTATATATAAGAGAGAAATTCGGATCCGCCAATGAATATATAAATATGATATGCAGATTTAAAAGCGAGATTTGCTAATGAATGGCATATTCTAATTCGAATAGGGCGAATTATTGCAAGGGCAGGTTGTCGTAGGGGCGAACTCTCTGGGACATTCTCGCGCATGCATAGCCTAACGTTTGCCCATGACATCCAGTTTAATCTGCAGAAGGATAAAACGTACGCTCAACTAGGATCTCGCGTCCCCCGTAAACAGTTCGTCATTTTGCGTAGTAATAAAACATTTTAACCTTGCTTATATATTTTCTGCGCGGACCTCAGGGTTCACGCAATAAAAATATTCTAATTAAAAAAAGTGTTAATCATTTGATAAGAATTTGAGAAACTTATACTCGATTATGAAAATTTTACACCGTTTCAACGTATACATTTACATTTAGTAACATCAATTGAACTGTCTATATTTGTGCATTAGTATTATCAATCTTAAGAATATTCTACTTTAAATTAAATCCTGTTTCTTTGAAATTGAATAGTGAATGCAATTTTTGGTGGATGTTCTTTGTTTGTCAACCTATCAGCTATAACAGCAGTACCTTCTTCGAGGAAGTGTGTGCATACATATGTAAATATATACATAACCGAGTTTTACTGTAATGAGGACATAACATTGAACATTCTGTTCCTTAATCGAATGGTTACATTGAATTTAATAATAAACTTTTTTTTTTAATATAAATAAAGTTTTATAAAAGTAAAAGCATTTTGTTTACATATTTTTTTTTCTATTTTCTCTCTTCCTGTGGAGGATTGAGTGATAACATTGGTATAATGAAACATTTTCTTAATATGCAGTATTGATTTGAAAAGAAAATACTAGTAAAAAGAAGATGAATAAATAAGTTCTTCTTTATTTCATCATATAATATAGCAATATAGCAATCATTTTGAGAGTATTGAACAAGCAATACTTGTTCTCCTACCGAAAGTGCAAACTTGTTCCCCTCAAAATTAAAATCAGCAAGCGTATTGGGGGAAAGAGTTCGAAAAACTAATTGGGAAATATGTTTCTCCTTGAGAATTTAAAAAAGGCATGACTCCAGAAAAAACAATGCATGCTTGATAAGTTATGTTTCAACGTACACTCACATACCAAAATGTAACTCTATAAATGTAAAATTTTACATGAAAAGTGGAGAAACTAAGTGGGACAGTTTGACTGATGGACAGCTGGACGGACATGTCCCATTCTGGGAAAAATACATTTGATTTTTGCATTGACCTGTTCAGAGAATTGTGTAGATAAACTACTGTAAAGGCTTAAAAGTCAGTAAATGTCCATTTTTGAAAAGGATGATTCTTCTGTTCCTTAATGCATCAAGCTTGACCGATTTTATTGAATTGCATTCGCCCCAAGGACTTCATATTTTTTGATTGCTTTCTTGTGAAATATTTTGAGCAGAAACTATGAAACAGATGGTTTACAATGGAAACTTGAGACCACTTATTGTTAAAACGTACGATCCATTTTTAAACATTTTAACGTCAAGCATGCTAATGACAGAAATTCTGATTCAATATGTTGCAAACATCGTGATATTGTATAGCAATGGATATATATGTAGGTATCGGAAGGGATACTGTTCATCAACTGTTCTCAAGCTAAAGAACAAGATGCGATATCTTTGCATTTACATGATTGTGAGTAATAACTTTGATTCACTTTTTTCAATTCAAGATTGTCTATTCCTGTATGCGTTTCGTATAAATGTATAGCAGGTTTAGAATCCGATTTAAAAAAAAAACTCCGTGCACAGGTTAAAATACCTCTGTTAAGCATAGATTATTGGAGACTTAATTTGTCTAAGTGCTACATGAGACGGACATATGCAACGATATACCTTCGTCACCTGCATACGGCGTTTATATATGTAGGACTCCAAAGTGCGATGGGACTCCAAAGTCCGATGGTCACGCCAAAGTCCGATGGTCTGCGCCAAACCCCGATGGTTTGACACGCCAAAGTCCGATGGTGCGGAAAACAATAAATGTTTATGACGTCATAGTACTGCTGCACAAAAATGCGAAACCGCGCCATGCCAAGCCCGATTTGTTAAAAATAAAATACAAATAAATATTAAATGCAAAGATTAACCCTAATCTTTTAGATATAGGTGCGAGACTAACACTTATCAGTCGAAAAAATATGTTAAAACTAGATATCTTGGATGAGTGCAGGAATAACCAAAATTAGTCCAATAGTGTGCAAGGACTAACCATAAAATCTCTCGGGGAAACATATTGGTGTTCAAGAACTAACCCTTATCAGTCGAATAGTCTACAAAGACTAGCCCTAATAGCTCTGGTAGGCGAAAACAATAAGCAATATCAGTAAAAATGTATGTGAGACGAATACTGAATCAATGGATTTTGAATGCAGGACAACGTCATGACGTCGGACTATTGTGACGTCATAAACGTTGATTGTTCCTCCGCACCATCGGACTTTGGCGTGTCAGACCATCGCACTTTAGCGTCGCGCGTCTCATTGGAAACGAGCCATCGGACTTTCGCGTGACCATCGGACTTTGGCGTCCGTGAAGTCCGCGTGCCATCGGGGTTTGGCGCAGACCATCGGGGTTTGGCGAGACCATCGGACTTTGACGTCACCATCGGACCTTGGAGTCTTACATATATATCTCAAATGATTCGATACGCAAGAGCATGCTCAATTCTTATGAACTTGTTATTAAGTTCTTATCAACTTGTTCTTATGAACAATTTCTAAAACGAGGTAAGTTATTGAGAAACAAGTTGATGAAACAAGAATATTAACGTCTAGTTTCTATGAAATATAAATCATTTTGCAAGTTCTTTGGTCGATACAATGACCTTGTCACCAAATACAGTGTATCATTGAGTCAAATGCTGACTGACGTTTTTCATACTTATTGTAAGTCCATTATTTATACCTGAATTGACGACGGTTTTTTTCTTGGTTATTTCCCGATCATGACAAAGAACACACGGCGGGTGTGACGGCCAGCAGGGGATGCTCACTCCTCCATGGCACCTGATCCAATCTCCGAGTTTTAGAGGTCCGTGTTTGCTCTGCTCCTATTTTGATTTGTTTAATGGACTTTGATATTGAATACTGTTCGTTATCTCTATATCCTTCATGAGTAAAAATTGTCTTTAAGTCATCTTTAAGCAGGCTTAAAATGTGTTTACTGATATTCTAAAGAGTTGCTACGTTTGTGTTCCACAGCTAACATTTCGCTTATGGCCCGCACATTTATGTCGCCCTTATAGTGCTTCTTTCCGAAATAATGCCTTTAAACCAAACTGTTGATATCCTTTTTTCATCAAATTGTTTGTCAATAATTTACCTCATTTAGAAATTGTTTAGATGAGAAGCATGCTCTTATGTATCAAGTCAGCTTTTAACAAATCTGGATGAATAAATGCTAATTTATTCTTTATTTTCATAAAAATTACAATACTTTGTTTCTCATATAATGCAGGATTAAATTAATAAATGTGCACATATTTCGCAATAATAACACTATCTGAACGTAGAATAAATAAAGAATGAAACCTAGCCTGATTTAGCTGTACTTATTGATATTACGTAACAGATTATAGAATTTTGTAACATGCAAAAAATAAAACAAACGTGATTGGACTAAGATTGAGACATGGTCATCAAAATATTTATCAATATTCTACCGTCCGGTTGAAATTTAATCATATAGACCTTACTAAAGCGATAGCTAGTTAGGCACACGTGTACAGAAACGCACTGGAATGACAGGCACAATTTAACACCTTCAAATCTCAAAAGTTCAACAATATTTCTATACAGATTATGAGCTTTTAAACACGTTTATATGTAGCTATAAAACCTACTGAGAGCTTTTTGGGTGCTGTTGCTTTTTTCCGATATTTAAAAGTATTCCAACATATATCAGAAGACAAACCTTACATAATAAAAAAAAACTTGTTCCCAGCACTTTTATATATTAAGGAATCTGACTTAAAGAAAAAAATCAATTTCATCTCAAATATGCACATCCTTGACCTTTCTCAATCTTTGTTTCTTATTTAAAACCCATCAATTAAGAATCGAAACAGCGGGTGTAAGTGACGTCGGTTTGGTAGAACTCAGGAGAGACACGACATATGAATTTGCTAATAACAGAATTGAATTTTCAATTTATCAAAATGCTCACAGTATTAAAGAATATCAAATCTGTATTCATTTTCTCGGAAAAAAAAATATAAAAGCTGATTTGCTCGTTTCTAAGCCTATGGATTGTTCTAAAATGATCCGTAACGGAAATCAATCACAATTATAATAATTGATGTCTATCTGGTAAGAGCGATTATTGTTGTCCTAAAGCGGCCTGGTGAGGTTTTTGCTGCATTCGATCGGAAAACCCAGATTCAATTTCCTTTTACAGTGCTTTGTAAAGCTAAGAGGTCTAACATGTGTTTTGACACCTTTGGCAAACGTCCGGTACCAAGTCATCAAGATTTCCTCACACGGCATGCCTCTGTATCCATATGCCCCATTATTTAAGGGTCTTAATTTGAAGTCGATTTTTATTCGATATAGTATGGTACCGAACATAAATGAAACGCAAACAACAACAACAAAAATATTCAATATATTTTGTAAGAAATAAAAATTGGAGTCTATGTTTGTTCGACAAAACATGTTCATAACATTTTAACTCCTATGTGTATGTTTATTATATCTTTAGATCTATATGCAGCTGTATTTGTCACTGTCAACAGAAGGGCGAGCATTTTTCGGACGTGGGATTCCGCTGGGTGACTATCATTTGAAAGCATCTCCTCTTTTTTGACAGTTTATTTCAACACAAGGTGTTGTGCTGTCAGTAGAGTTATGTTACCTATTCAAATGAGATAAAAATTCCACTACAATTAGCCGATTCAAATTTCACTCTCATGATTGAAGAATAACTTTTTGCACATTTTGACAGTCTTATATTTGGAGAGTTCGTGTATATATATTTAAATAGAAAAAAACTATATAGGAGATAAAATTTCATGACATTTAGGCTAGCAGATCCAAATTTCACTCTCATTATTTAAACATAACTGTTTTTATAATAGCACAATAATACAGTCTTATATTTGGACAGTTCTTGTATATATTTAAATAGAACACAAATCTAATGAAACTTAAAGATATTTATTAAGAAAACTGTTTCCAGTGGACATTTTGAAATAACATTCATTACAGATTACTTATTGTTTTTTATGCAGTGTTCTGCTAACATTTAATCCTGTAATGATATTTATCAAATCCTTCCTCTTTTTTCTGGATCAACAGTAGGTTGTGGGTATATGATACAATCAATAAAAATTGAAAAGAGGAATGCTGGTGGGCATTCACCTTTTCAATTTTTATTTTAGTCTTAGAATCAAATTAAATAGAAACAACGCGTTAAAACATGGAAACAAAACTATTAAATACTTGCTTGTATTTCAATTCTAAAGATATTTTACAGGGAATGAAGACCGACATGAGCTTCCAGACGGAATGAGAGCTTTGAAATCTTTGAAGTAAGAATATATCATAAAGGCATGCAATGTTTTTCATTTAGTGGAATACTATTAATCAACAAAATGCAATAAGTTATTTCAACTTTTTATTTTAATTTTTCAAATAATTTTTTTTAGTAGAAGAAGGGTTCATTATACCATGGATACGACTGGTCTTGAATGGTGAATAGATTCAAGGAACAGATAACGAGACTCTCGAAAACCAAGCTTTGATGTATTTGTATGTCTAATGCAATAAAGTTACATTTCTCAAGCTTAACAATTGAGTGTTTTTTCTCAACTAATATGTAATGGCACAAAATTCCATCATGAATTTCATTAATTAAATTTGTATTACCTCACCCTAACAAAAACATACCATAAAAAGTAATATAATTAAATACAGTATTTACTAGTATAGTGTAAAACATTGTTCTTAAATCCACTATAGTTCATCACTGCATTTTTACTGTTACTAAAATATCCATAATGTACATCAATGGTGTTCAATTTAGAATATATTTAATCTAATAAAAGTCCTTGAGTGAAGTTTTATGGTAAATCAAAGCATCAATGTATACTATTGTGAACTGAGGTAAACTTAAGTTAAATCATAGCACATTTATATTCGGGTATATTCAGGTGCACTCTGGCTCATGCTAAAGATCTTTTTATACATAATTATAATTCAAATTAAAGAAAATTTCTCGGTATTATACAAGGGCTGTTCGATAAATAATATCCTGAACTCTATGACATACAACACAGATATCATCTGACATTAAGCTTGACTTTTTCTCATATTTGAATCTTTAATGAATTGATATCAGTTTATATCGAGAACTTTTCATCTCATATTTTCATTGAGAGAAGCTGAAAAACAAGGGCTATTCGAGACACTGCATTAAAAAAAGAGATTAACCAGATGACAGTGTACGTCTACGTGTAGCTAGGGAAATCCCCTAATTTAATGCGATTTATGTCATCAGTTTTGCATTCCGCGTAATTCTACAAGTTGTACACAACGTGCAGATTCGTAAGTACACGTAGGTGAGAACTTGTAGCTTCAGAATATATTTTTTTCAGCCGGTGTTTGGTATGAAGTTGAAAATTTATTAGGTACATCCAATGTATCTTTTTTTACATCAAGTCATAGATTTACTTGATACAAATGAATTGTAAAGTGCCTTGTTGATCGAAATGACGTTTACACGTACCGGTACACGTGCATTTTGTTGAACGAACACGATGATAGTTACGCGTACGTGTAAATTCCCTTCTTGGTAGAAGGCAAAATTTTTGCAACAAAAAAAAAATCGAAAGGTTTAAGAGTGGAAGGAACCAGAATCAGGAATCCACTACTTTAAATTTCTTCATGACAGTTTCCAAACCCACACTCCCTGAAGAGTAAAGGTGTTTTGCGGATGAACAGAAATTAGTTCATGTTTTGTCGCACCAACATTATTCGCCATTTCTGTCAACCTTTGACTTGATTCATTGAAAGAAATATCATTAAGCGAAGATAAATGTAACCTTTTTGTAAAGTCTTTATTTCGCTGAATTTGCAAAAGACGTCTTCATAGCATTTTTCAATTTTCTTTTCTTTTTCTTGCTTTCGAGTACTTCCAGTCTGCACCAGGGAACTCAAAAGTCAGAAATTTGTTGATCTAAGTACATGTAATTTCTTCTGTTATGAAACATGATGTTTCTGTATAGACCTCGAACTCATTAATACTGAAAATAAAAGAAACATAGCTCAACAAACGAAACATCATGAAAATCATTACAAAGATACATAGCTGGTTCCAGTAAATGATATACCAAACATCTTGCTGATTTTCCTTCGAATTTCAATTAATCATAGTACAGCAAAGCTTCATCAGTACTGTTTTAAAATAAATTGGGAAAAATTAAATCAGTTGATCTGTTTTTTTTTATTCCTATGAAGCAGAGCCTATCCAAACATGAGAAGAAAAACACTTGTCGTTGCTTTCAACACGACATTCAACTCAGTTTTATCAATTAAAAATATTTCCCCATACATATTAAAACTCTTTATATCCCAGTGAACTTGAAATTAATGAAAGACACCACAGAGTAGATAACATCTGTTCCAAATTCATATTAATTTTGTATGTTTCACTGACTAAAGAACACAAAGGCTAATAAACAACTCAACTGTATGACAAACGATTTTGATTTCGGCTTTTTCATCGTGAATTTTTCATATTTATGTAGAACTATTCCACCATCACCTGCTTTTGCTGTCTCCAAACTTATTCGATATTAAAGAGCCTCCTCTACCTACCATCAATTTTTAAAGCAAGACAGGCTACTCAGTGATAAGTTGTCAGGTAATAAAAATTTCAACAGTCTTGTGTAAAGTAAGTATTACGGAACCTTTATGGTATTTATGCTAGCAGAAATAACCTATCATTGGGTCGTGTTTTGTCTGACTTGTTTCATACTAATGAGTAGACCTTTTGATTTTTATATTGAAATATTTACATTTCCAAATAATTTCCTTAAGATTCTTTGCAAATAAGAACATTGTTTATTTTCTCAAGAACTACCATGGATGCGCATGAATATCTCCATTGTTACGTCACAATACCGCACTTGACGTTAAAGTATAGTGCAAACTGTTTTTGCTTTAAAAATGACAGTTAAATGGCGTAAATTTGTGGCTACTCATCAGAAAAATAATGTAAATATAACAAATGAATCTATTTTTTGAAGATTCATGAGGTATATGGACTACAACGCTTCACGCAGGCATATTTATCATGAAGTGCTAAAACGCGCTTCATGAAATATGCCGGCGTGAAGCGTCGTAGTTCATAACCTCATGAATCTTCAAAAAATGAATTCATTTCTTAATTGACTATGGAAAGATCCACTTACATGATCAATAAATAGGGCTCACGTCGGGTGTGACGTAGAAATAGGCATTAGACTTACCACCTCGAAAGAAATTGTTATATGCATGTATTAATTTTACATTACAAGCCATTGGGAATTTAAATTGGAACGTTCTCCAAGATGATGACTGAAAGAAATGTTAGAGAACTTTATAATGATCAAAGAAAACATTGAAGATTTATTTCATTCTTATTCAGCTTATGTTATTACGTGTAAAAAGCTTTAAGTCCTTGGAAAATCAAAAATTATATAAATCTTATGTAAGTGGATTACTATTTAAAAAGAGTGATTTAACTATTTAAAGTATTTTCTATTTGGAGAATTTTCATACATATCTGGAGGGTATTGACTTTTTAAAGAAAAATAAAGAAAATTCGCCACTGATTTATGTTTTGATATATTTTTTAAATGTTTTGCTATTTCGAGGTTTAAAAAGAAGCAGCAGAAAATTGTTTACAATACTATATTTCAAAGGGATATTTTTCAAACATGAAATATCAGTAAAATTAAACAGTAGCTACAGACAGTCACTGTTTCAAAAATTACAATTTTCAAAAGCATCAGAACGTTGTCCTTCTTTCTGACTTTTTAATTAGATTTTCAGTTTTTGGGGGATGGGGTGTTGCGGTTTAGTTATAACGATCGACTTTATCGAAATCAAAATCATTGAAATATAATATCAATTGTATCCTTATTCTTTGAAACAAATAAATCTGACTAATCATCAGTTATTTGTGCACCGAATCCACTATTGTCAAAGAAGGTTGGGGAAAATATACAATTAGCAAATATTTATTTTTTATAATCTTGATTTAAACTTTACTATAACTATTTACCCCATTCAAATAACGTAAGATATTCACTTAGTTCAATGACTGCATTTTTAAAAACAATTTTATTTTGATTAAATATTGCTTCCAAAAGTCTCATAAGGTGTTTATCTCTTTTCAATATCTATCTTAAAGAAGTATTACACATTTATGCATATGCAGAGTAAAATTAAATCCAAAGAAAAATCAATCACTGTCCAAAAATTTTAATCTTAAAACAAACAACACAAGACGAAGAGGATTGAAGTACGGAGTAAAAGTACTCTGGAAAGTTTGTTCCGAAAGAGAATTAACAAACCGAACGGCAAACAAAATCTGTATTTCTGAGTAAACAGAATAGGGTGATACTGAGTAATTGTCAAGTAATGATTTATAGAGTATTATAAAATTTTACTGTCACTTTAATTTTGAGGTACAAGCACTTTATACCTGTTGAATGGACACACCATCAGTTTTATAACTGATAAAAATTAAAGTTTATACTAGTCTTTAAAAGAAGTACATTCGATGTACAACAATTTTTAGATGGTAAAACCTTGTCATGGATAATTATGGTGAAGCAGAAAAAGAACTTGTTTTTCGAAATATAAATATTAGTTTAAAGCAAAAACATGTACTCAAGAATATAAGTGGAGTGGCAAAGTCAAAGGAAATTTTAGGAATTTTTGGACCAAAAGGTAAGATGATTTAAGAAATAATTTATGTGTGGAATATTAAAAATATTAAAAGTTAATTGTCGAACTCAGAATTTGAAATTTTAAAATAAAATATTTTTCAAGGTAAAATTTAGTTCCTACATTTCCAAAAAGAGAAAAAAACAACATTTTCGCCAGGAGTTAGATATATAACAAATACACAGAATTAAATTAATATATAATGAAAAATATTAAAATAAATTTTAAAAAATTAAAAAAGGCGATTCTCTATCTTTCTCTCTCTCAGTACACGATTTTAAAGAATCAAATTACTTTACTATTAACTTGTGCTTTTTGCTGCCTTTACTGACTAGGTTCAGGAAAAACAACGCTGGTTGAAACTTTGGCGGGACAGTTGACACCCTATGTTGGCGATGTATTATTGAGTGGTACACCAGTCGAACACACTCAGGCGGAAGTGACGTTAGTGCAGTCAGCTGACCTTCATTTGCCCACTCTGTCAGTTTTAGAGACACTCAAGGTACTGAGATAGTCAGTATTAGATATCACTACCTTTTATGTCAGATCCAAAAGTCAATTTTATTTAATCCGAATGGTAAAAATTCATTGCGAATTCATCATTCATAGAAATGTTTCCCCCTATCAATACTTTACTATAATCATCCATTGTAAAGTATAGTAAATAATGTAAAATTTTGATTAAGCATGGAACTTATTACTTGTTTTAAATTGAGAGCCGTCGACTTATCTTTTAAATTCAATTTAATATAGAAAAGTTTGTAAAAATATGTAAATACGAGGGTTGTCCCAAAAAGTCGTAGACAATGTTTATATTTTTTTTAAAAACGCAACCAATACTAACCAAATTTTGCATAGACATAATATATTCAATGTTCTTTAAAATTGTGAATTTTTAAATATATATCTTTGATATTAATAATATTAAGACGATTTATATGAAGGCCGATAATGCCTGTCGGCGCACGAACAAAATTCGGAATAGTCAACGCATATAACTAATATATTTGCTTTTATTTCTTTAGTACTATGCAATACATTGAACTCAAATTTAAATCAATGAAACCAGAATCACAATCTTAATAATATGTCAAAATTTCATATAAATTGCTTTAGAAACAGACGATTGGTGTCATGATTTTCATTACCGTCTTCCTTGGAAGACGGTATTGTATAGTTGAATTTTTTACAGTCTTCGGACTATGCACTTCCTCTCTTTTGTGATTAGTAGAAAATGCATGATGAGAAAATTTTCAATTATTTCATTGGTTGAAATGCTGTTCAAGGCAAGGGAGATAACTTTCTGATGATCTAATTTTCGTACGACTTAACAATTTTGCAAGATTTTCAATCTTAAAAAAAATGACAAAACGAACAACAAAATCAGCAGTAATTAATTCCTAATAACATGATTTTTTGTATAGCAAAAAATTAAAAGATCTCTTTAACTTCATTATAAATAGAATTTGATTTTTATTGCTTGCAGGCTTTACAATTTGTTATTATTCTTTTCCCCTTTCTTGTTTGAAGAAGGAAATGGAATCAGCCGAGGTTTGCCGAAAGCTCTCGGCGAGTCAAAGTTTACGGAGATGACCGAGCGACAACCGTGGTAGGGCTCATGCCAGTAAAAAGCTAATGTAGAAATACAAAATCAAGAAATTCAAAAGAATTATACGGCCTGATAGGTGTAGATCAGTTTACAGTTTAAGACTGTTGCTAAAGACGGGAAGCTTTTTAAAAAAGCTCTACTTGTAGTATCGTTGGAATTGAGTTTGATGAAAATGACGTCGTCAAACGCATAACCGGCGCACGGAGATGTAAAACATTGTGTTGGATATGGTTTATATACATCAGAGACGGGAAAAAAGAGTACAAAAGTGACATTACACACCAGATTTTAATAAAGAAGTTATTCTTAAGTGGCACTATATTCAATGAGAGTTTTTCTTCTATACCAAAAAATAGTTAGGGCATATTAGAAGTAGAGTACTGTTTGTTAAACATAGACAATTGGGAACAATCTAGACCGCGAACGACGTCAAACAATATGTACATTTGTATTCTCTGCTGCCTACAATGTAAGGCGATCTTTCGACTAAATTTCGACTGAAATTTGAATCTGGTTAAAAAACAAAACAAAAACAAACCGACAGTAGTGAATTTAAATAAGTCCCTTAGTCAAGAGTGGTCTATCACTTTAAAAAGTATATTGAATGTTAATAGACGCGAGTGAAGCAGACAAAGAGATCATGACGTTATAAGAGACGTAATTTACGCTTGCTTTCGTGCGCCGGTGTACACTTACATTCTTTCTTTATTTTTACATAATTTTCTTATTAGATGTGATATCATCATGAAACTTGAAATGCATGATCATAAAATATTACTCTTTGCTATGACAAGGAAAGGAATTTAATTAAGCAAAGGAAAACTAAACTGTTTTCCCTGTCTACGACTTTTTGGGACAACCCTCGTATACAGCTTACACTTCTTTTTGATTACTAGTATATTAAAACATTGAAAGTATGAATTAGAGTATACATTTATAGAGTAGAAAATCTAAGTAAAAGTGCTCTTAGTTACTTTAATAATTCAAACTTTGATACTAAAATTATGTTTTATCATCCTATGATCAAGGAACGAGCATATAAGAAATCTTTGTGTGTTAGAAAGAAAAAAAATCGGAAGACGGATTGAATTACAGCCAAGCTACAATATACTTCTTCAGAGTATTTATTGGATAATATTTACAATAAACAAACTTCAGATATGTCAAGCATTCTAAGAAGATAATCTACAAACACAATGCGTTTGCTGGCAGGATTATTGGTCCTTTACAACTTTTTTCCAAATAAAGTTTGCACTGTACCACGTCAGTTAAAGGAGACTAGAATTTAGAACGTTTACTTTTATCTTACAACGGTGGTCCATAGATACTCGAGTCGATTAGACGCTTAGATTAGTAAGTGGGTGCGAGAGATTTACGAGGCGCGGTTAACTTCCATAAAAGTTAAAAGTCATCACAAACAGAGACAACTAAAATAAATATTAGTCCGTCATTCACACGGTAAAATAGCCACAATTACCCCCCGAGAACTAGGTCAACACGAGGTGAAATGTTACATAATTTATTTTGTTAACATTTTCAGTGTATAGTGTTAATTTCAGACGAATTCGAGAAAAGTTTCAAATTTCTAAAACTCTTTACAATTTTACCAAATAACTCTATGTCCCAATGTATAACAGAGGAGCATGTGACATTTTTAATTACCAATAAATAAATAAATAAATAAAATAAAATTAAATAAAATGAAATAAATTAAGATAAATTAAATAAATAAAAAATTAAAGTGAACAGTAACTTTGTAAAAACTTAACATTAATTGTTTTAATTTAGTGACCATTAACTTACCTCTTCTTCAAACTTGATACATCGTATGTGCACTTGTACGTATACTTTTTTTCTGATCCTGAGATAAGATTTGTCTTTTCTCTATACTTTCCCTTCTCTACCCTTATATACATAAATTCTCTAAAATTTGAAAATTTATAACCACTTTCTTTTGCGATAATGAGTATCAAAAATAAATCCATTCAAGAAAGAATTTAGAAGAAAGACTAGAGATGATGCAAGCGTTAAGGCATTAAAGAAGAAACAGTTAGAATTGAAAATAAAAAAGCTATGGACAAATGTTAAAGCTCTCGTTTTAGTATGCAGCTGTCCTCAGACTTCATGACATGTCGACAAAAGATCTGGATCTTAGAGTACGTCACGTGATCGACCTGTGTCAACTCGACATTTTCAAAGATCTCAGTGAGTAAAGTTTATCTTTTGAAAAGAAATGTGTACATCGGTTTGAAAAAATGTAATATTCTTTGTTTTGTTATTATAATAAAAATAGCTCTATATAAAGTATGACTTTGATAAAAACAACTACATGTATAATTCCAAATGTTAGGAACTTGCATTTATGAGGGACCGTTTTGGTATTGACCGGCAATTTAATTTGTAATATCACCTATTAAAATGAATGATATCCAAATTGGTGATATCACCTTTTCAGCTTTTGAATTGATCACCGATTGAAAAGATGATACCACTTATTTGATTTTAAATGGATTGGTATCACTTACCCAGTTTGAATGATGGATATCACTTATGCAAATAGACAAAAAGATGTTTTCGTTTAGGTCATATCACTAAATAGTCATAAATACCAAAACGGTGCTCCACACATGTACACTTTAAAATACATATACTTAGTAGTTATATAACAAATCATTTTTTAAACAGTGATGCAATTTCTTCCCCATCCTGCAAGGAAAAGAACAAGCCTGGCCTGTGAACTACTTCTAAATCCTTCAGTGTTGATCATAGATGTAAGCAATAACAGTTATCTTTCTAATGAAGATTCTATATTATAAAAGTTATATGCATTAAAATCTAACCCAAAACGTGATACAGTATTTGAATTGTACCAGTTTGCACTCATGACTTTATCGATTGTTGTTAGTTTTGTTGTTTTGCTGCATTTATGCAGGACCCTGTGACAAACATGGAATTCAAAGACGCTATAGATTTACTAAAGCTATTACGCCACTATGCTGAAAAATTCAACAAAATTGTCGTGACGTCATTGGCTGCAGCTCCAAGTGCTTTCTACAGCGTCTGTCACAATCAACTTTTCCTATACAACGGTCATGTAAGAATTCATGTTGATTCCCTATAAACTAAATTAAAAGATGTTATATGATTTGGTACTGTAAATTACATGAAGCTTTAACAATTGTGTACATGAAGACTAAAATTTTATTTTTATACCCCCGCTCCGAAGGAGAGGGGGGTATACTGTTTTACCCTTGTGTGTCTGTCCGTGTGTCTGTGTTTCTGTGTGTCCGTGTAGCTGTGTGTCCGTGTGTCTGTGCGTCCGTGTGTCCGTCCGAAACAAATTTTCGTCACAGTTTTCTCAGCAACTACTCATCGAAGATGCTTGAAATTTTAACACAATCTTCTCTGAGGCATGCCATACGGTGGGATATATTTTCGCTCAAATCGGATATCAACTTCCTGTTTGTCTGTGGGTCTGTCCGTTTCATACATCACAAATTTTCGTCGCAGTTTTCTCAGCAACTACTCATCATAGATGCTTGAAATTTTAATACAATCTTCTCTGAGACATGCCATATGGTGGGATACATTTTCGCTCAAATCGGATATCAACTTCCTGTTTGTCTGTGGGTCTGTCCGTTTCATACATCACAAATTTTCGTCGCAGTTTTCTCAGCAACTACTCATCATAGATGCTTGAAATTTTAATACAATCTTCTCTGAGGCATGCCATATGGTGGGATAAATTTTCGCTCAAATGTGATGTCAACTTCCTGTTTGTCTGTGCGTCTGTCCGTTTCATACATAAAGAAATTTTCGTCGCAGTTTACTAAGCAACTACTCATCGTAGATGCTTGAAATTTTAACACAATCTTCTCTGAGGCATGCCATATGGTGGGATAAATTTTCGCTCAAATCGGATGTCAACTTCCTGTTTGTCTGTGCGTCTGTCCGTTTCATACATAACAAATTTTCGTCACAGTTTTCTCTGCAACTACTCGTTGTAGATGCTTGAAATTTTAACAAAATCTTCTCTGAGGTATGCCATATCTTGGGATACATTTTTTTGCAAATCGGATATCAACTTCCTGTTTGTCTGTGCGTCTGTCTGTTTCACACATAACAAATTTTCGTCGCAGTTTTCTCATTAGCTATTCATAGCGGATGCTTGAAATTTTATTACACCCTTTGTTGAGGCATGCCATATGGTGGGATTAATTTTGATATGAATCTGATGTCAACTTCATATTTTTCTGTGCATCTGCCTGTAATTGAACTTGTGTATATATATTAACATGATAGTGCTTATTTACATCAGAGCGGGGGTATTACTAGTGAGCATTGGCTCACAGATTTCTTGTTGTATATATCAGCACATGATCTTACTGAAAAATTTGTTACACAGCAAAAGGCCGGTATAATGATTTGTCGGCACTGTCAGATTCTGTTGTACATACACGACCGACGACATCCGAAAATAAGAATTTAATGCTAATACATTCATATATATTCATTCTCTATCGTTCTCTCTTCAATTTATTTATTTATTCCTCCATGGCACCTGATCCCATCTCTGGTGTTTTATATATACCTGTCCGCGTCTGCTCTGCTGCAAAATGTGTATTATTTCACGGGTTTTGAGCTTGAAAACTTTTCGTTATCTCCATACATTAATCAGTTTATATATGTCAGTTTTGTTCACAACAAACAGCTTCAAAATGCAGTAACTTTATCATCCATGATTTACAGATAGCATATTATGGTACAGCCACAGAAATTCCGATTTTCCTTAAAGAATTGGAGCTTAGTACACCACAGGGATATAATCCTTCTGACCATATGTGTAAGTAGAATAAATTTCCTGTATACTTAAGGAATAACTGTCATATTTTTCGATTTCATGATGTGATCAATCGATTGGCTTGCGTGATATGCATACAATTATCATGCAAGCCAATCGATTGATCATCAATCCGATTAAAATACGGATCTCTACAAAGCGCAAAGCTTTGCGCTATGTAGAGATCTGTATTTTAATCAGATTGATTGATCATCGTCATGAAATTGAAAAATCTGACAGTTGTTCCTTATATTTACATTCTCTTGATTGGACGCTAGCCCCGCTTCTTGTCTTTAATTGTCCTGCCCTGCACGTGATTTTTTTTTTAACCCCGCCTATCGATGAACCAATAGTCATTGAAGAGGAAATAAAGTACATTAACTTTTTGTAATTTTATCTCGGACAAAGGCATTTGAAATGTAAATATCAGGCCCCAGGATCATGAAACTCCTTAAGCTTAAGTCAAACTCTTCATGTTGCATTCAAATTATGTTGAAGTCAAGCAGATCAAAACTGAAATATGTTTCAATAGTGATTCACAAAAGTGTTGTTTTTTGCAAAGTTTGAAATTAATGCAATTAATGATTAATATTTTACAAGCATTTGAAATTTTGACTTAAGTCTAAGTCTGTTTCATGATCCTGGGGCCAGAATATTAAACATGCATCATTACATTCATCACTGCTTAAGACCTGTGATATATCATACAGAAGTCTTTATCATGGAATAAGCCAAATTTAGATGTATTAAGATTGTAATAAAATGATAAATCGTAATCTGATTTATAGTTCAATTATGTAATTTGGCAGTCATTGATAATAAGAAATGATAAATATATTATATTTTATGTATTACAATATTTTACTATTCATAATTTTAACCCATTTTGTTTCTTTGATGTCTGCAATTTTTGATTTTCATATATAATGTAATCGGTTCCATATTGATTAAAATATTGAATTTTAAAAGAAGTAATGCTTTATTGTAGTGGAATTGTTAAATGAAGATACCTTAAATGACCGGTCACCGATTCAAGAAAAAATTGTACAAGAAATGTACAAAAAGAGGTACTACGTACGAGGGGTTATCAAAAAGTTCGTGGACTGAGGATATAAAATTAGTACTATGTAGTCTGTGCTTTCAAAATTTATATGGAACATAAAACAACACAAAATAAAGAAATGTTGAAAATTTTAGCCTGATACGTTCATTATTTGCCAAATTATTATAAAATGAAAACGACATTATATGATCACCCGGCGCTGTCGTCGTTTATTTTCATGACGTCCGATAACGTCATTGTTTTTTCAATGTCCGCTTCTTCTACCTCATACACTTTTTGATGAGATTCCCTGGAGCTGAGTAAGGACTTAAACCCGCTTTGTTTATATGACTTTACAATGTCATGACCAGTGGCCTTCATTGAATATACTATTCCGAATGGATTAATACATGGGGAGCGATCCGCGCTTGATTGTACCGGCATATTTTGCTTTTGGGAGTTCAATATCTACAACACATGATATATTTTTGACGTGATTGATTTTTCACACCTTGACTGCAAATCGACATTAAATGTGTATCCGTTTACTCTCTGAATCTATTTTGACATTAAAAGACAAGTACTCTAGATGCATTTTATTTCTCTGTAGCCAGATTCAACATATGTTAGGTCTATACTAGTTTGTTCAGGGGCAAAACTTAATAGAATGTTGGAAACGGAAACCCCTCCCACCTTTTGACGTCATTTTCAAGGCCTCATTTGTTTAGACATTCCGTGTAAAATTTACGATAAAATTTCATAGAACTTCCAGAATGTAGTGAAAATTTCATATTTTATGGAACAATTGTGACCCGACACATACCTTAATTAACGGAATTTTTGGATGTCAAATGATCAAATCAAAAGAGTTTTTCTCAGTTACACTTAGGTTGAAAAAACGTCGTTTTCGAGGTTGCGCCGCCTGGACATACCATTGCTTACAAAAACATTACTAATTTATTAAAAAATAAAATCTATGATTTGTGGTTTATTCTATACATAGAAAAGATTATGTTAACTAAATATTTCAAAATTGATTGATGTACCTAAAGCGGTTTTAATTTTATCTCGCTAGTCCACGAACTTTTTGATACCCCCTCGTATATGTCTAAATACTATTTCCTACCTTGAAAATTATGATGACGTTAAACCTCTGCAACTTGCACGTGCATAAATGGAATTCAAATCTCTTTTAATATTGAGAGAAAATTTTGAGAAAGCGTCTTATAGATATTTTAGCCAACATTTTCAAAAATAAGTTTGAAAATACATGTACAATGTAAATACATTGCTTCATAGACCATGTATACATCAATTCAGTATTTATGTAGTCATTTATTTACCAAGATGTTATCAAGGTGCAGAGACAAACACTTTATCTAATTAAGATATATTTTACATTTCAGACAGGAACCTGGATGGGAGTGCAAATCTTCCATAAACAAGTATCCAATCACGTGTCATTATAAACATCACGTGACCTCTTCAGTTAAAAATGAAAAGAATACAAAGAAATACGATAACTCAATAGACATATCTAAAGGTAAGAAATTTCTGGACCATTAAACCATTACTTTATTTTAAAAAGAATTGTATCTGTTACTTTACGTTACAACCATGTAAAAGTTGGCTGAAGTATTGGATTCAGTATAAAAGTAATCAATTAATCAATCAATGTCAGTTTTATTAACATTAAAAAACACTTTCAATATATTGGTGTGTTTTCATTGTTAATGGTAATATCCTGGAAATGTCGACGGTTGCTTGTTGTTTTTTGTTGCATTGTATTTTCATCCAAAATTCTAGCATCAAATTTTCTTAATTTGTAGAGGAGGTTGAGGTTTTGGTGGAGAATTCAATTCCAAACCCTTCGATTTTCACCACTTCTTTTTGTCATCAGTTCAAAGTTCTGTTTGCTCGTAATTTTCACAATGCTCGACGGCGAATATTGAACCCGATCAGTCTTATTCAGAACTTTTATATCTTGGTCATTTGTGTTCTTATTTGGTGGAGACCGGAAAGGATTGAGAACGAAGTGATGGATCGAATGGGACTGGTACGTTACTTCCTATCATCACCTCAGCCATTTTGGATGGTTTCAAAATATATCTTTTCTCGGATATGATTTGTTACACTCTCTCAGCAAAATTTGAACTGACAAAACATATTTGAATTATCTTAACTATCATTTTGACCTTTTTTAGTTTTTCTTTACTGTTGTACAATGGGCCTTCTTTGCACTGCTAGATGCAATTCTTACATGTAAGTTTAAAACTTTTCTAAGCATTCAAATTTGTTTTCTTAATGTATGGTGTTAACCCTTATACAAAACAATGAATTTTTTTCCCGAAAACTTGCTTACAGTGAAAGGAATATTATAGGGTTATTGAACTTATATTGGTGAATATTGGCACGAGTTGGCTCTTCAAATGCACGAGCTTGCGAGTGCATTTGAACCCAAAAAGGAACAAAACTGCCTGAAATGCTAATCTAGATGATTGAGGTTATATAGCTTAAACAAACCAGAGACAATTTACAATAATTTATAAATAATATTTAATCTATAATTATTATTCCAACTAAAAAAACCTCAATTTAATGACTTTTTAGTTAATTGTGTATGATTGTTTTTGTTTTTTTTGTTCCTGTTAGCGTTAAATGGACCATTCTGATGACCGTATGGCCTCGCGGACAATGATTTCCTTATTTGTGTTATTATTATAGGTATTATGTGTCTAAATTTTTAATAAAAATTTCATTTTGTGTGAAAAATAAACACCTCCTGTGCTCGGATATATGATATGTTGAACTCTCTATGCAAATTTTTAACTGATAAAACATATCTGAATTATAATCTAAACAATTCTTTTCACATTTTTTCCAGTTTTTCTTTACTGTTGTACAATGGGCCTTCTTTGCTCTGCTAGATGCAATTCTTACATGTAAGTTTTTAACGTTACTAAGCATTCAAATTTGTTTTTTAATGTTTGACTGCTAACTCCAATGCAAAACAATGAATTTTTCAAAAACTTTCTTTACAGTGAAAAAAAACATTATTGTACACTTTAACTTTTTACAGTTCCAAAAGAAATTAAAGTCATAAATCGAGAACGGAGATTTCGACATTACCGACTGTCAGCCTTTTGTATCTCCAAGTTCTTGAGTGAAATACCCTTGGCAATACTTCAGCCGGTACTATATATGGCTGTTATTTACTGGGTGGCCAATCTCAATGGCGTTTATGCCTTCTTGGCCTCCACTGGGGTACTCATCGTAGACGTCCTTGCAGCTCAGGTGATTTTATTTTTGAAATTCATCAAAAAGATTTTAAAGTGGCTAAACAAAATTAGACAAAAAGCTCTAAGGTAACCATTATTGAATACGCAAGGATTATTAGGATTATTAAATACTGATAAAAAAATCATTGATGATGTGCTAGAGGTTTAAGAAAAAATCAAATAAATCTAATTTATTTCATTAAAAAAAAAAACCGTGTTGTTTGCTTAATGATAATTCACTTATACTGATACAAAATTTGATCGACTTATTAATTCTAACGGTTTTTAGGATAATTTGTTTTTTTTCTTATTGTGTGATTTTGACCAGAAAATAGACATATCATAAATGTTTAAATATATTTTAGAGTATAGGAGTTTTTATCGGATCAGCTCTTCAGCCACCATGGACAGTAACAATCGTATCCCTTGGACTTCTGTCAATGATGTTATGGGGTATATTTATTATTCAATTTTATAATCATGATAAAAATTGAAATAAAAAGCTAAAATATGTACAATTGACGTTAGTGCAGTAATATTATTTCCATTTTTTTTAAATCTGCAAGTCAAGTCAGCCGAAGAATTAATTCCAGAAATTCTACATTTTTCAAAATTTAAGTGACTGATAACAGTAAATTTTAAACCGAAAAATTCGACAGACAATCAAACAAACAAAACCTTGATAGAAAGGCGAAAAAGTTAGTGCCCCTTTGTACATCCGTACCATGGGCAGAGTAAACAACAGTTTTAGCTACATTTATAATTCATGTATTATCTAAATTTTAAACCATTTCAGTAAGAAAGATCACTCGTGTTTTGATTTCTAGGCGGTGCATTCAACACTCCTCCTTCCTGGCTGAGTTGGGGGAAATATGCCTCGTTTTTCTTCTACGGGTTACAAGCTTTAATTGTCCTGGAATTCAAAGACGCCCCTCCCATAAAGTGAGTGTACAAAAACGTAGATTGATTTAGATGCCTATAATGGCCTTATATACACTGAACTTACTTTATATGTTAAATGCACGAAGACTTAAATGATATTGGTATTTTTCATTGAGTTTAAATCTTTGAACACACAAGCTAAGGAAGGTAGATAAATGACAGACATATAATATTCTAATTTTCCACAGCATTGGCTTTTATTTTGTAACAGTATTATTTCATTCTTCGAAGGGCAGAGTTTATTAGGCGATGCTTTAAATAATGAAAATCCTGTGATACAATAAAATCTTTTTTACAGGTGTTTACCTAATAGTACACTACCGATCTGTAATATGGTCAATCCGGTAACAAATATGACGGTAGGGGAGTTTGACTCGGAGACAATTTTAATGGTGCAGAAGATCACGTGGCCTGTATGGCAATATGTCACAGTGTTGATTGTTATAATGGTAGTCACACGGATACTTTGGTATATTGTGATGAGGCGACAGAAACTTCACTGGCATTTGTAATAGAGAGAGAGAGAGAGAGAGAGAGAGAAAGAGAGAGAGTGAGCATAATTTTATATTTGTCAGTCGTGTTTTTTTTTCTTTTTTTGTACTATTGATAGCAGAAAACGGACACAATGTATACAGTTGTTTTCTCTTGAAGAATAAAAAATATTGTTGTAAAGGATTAATAAAAGAGAAGTGTCTATATTGGTGTTGTTTTTTTCTTTCAAATTAACATACTCAGGAAGTGTGTATCACTCACATTAAGTTAATTTACAATGAATATGGAAAATAGAGAAAATGAATTTAAAAACTGGAAAAATGTACAATACTAATTTGAAAAATGGAATATTAAAACGTCTGAATGCTAATGTAATGATTTTGTTTCTTTACACCACAGTCGCAATTGTGTGTATTTTATGTTATCCGGGAAATATCTAAAATTCCAGTTGAACATATTTGCTAAAACAAAACATAATCAATGATAAATAAAAAAGTTATATGATAAAATTCAAAGCTGTTTGTTGAAGTTTAAATTTCAGAATTCAAATACAGCTACCTTATACTTTCTACAGTTATAAATTCATTTTTCCGTTAACATTGAGAAATAATCCAACCGTAACCAAGCTAAAAATAGATAGAAACAATGGAAATCTGGAGCAGTGCCAACATGGACCTAAAACCAGAAAATCAAAGGTAGGACCATTTGCCATAGAGGGGTGAGAATGTCGATGAAATATGTGATCCATCTTATACAAAGAGGAACTATGGAAAATACATCAACAGGATGTGACCTCTGATCCCCAGAAATTCTGGAGTTGATATCAGGTGCTAAGGAGAAGTGAGCACCTGCCGCTGACTGATCACACTATCCAAGAGTTTTATTTAATGATCAAGTAGATGAAACAGTTCATACTGGTCATAATTAGTATATAAGACACAACGGCGTAAAATTGGTATGAAAAAGTCAACCAAAAACGCCCTAATGATAGGTTATATTTGCTAATAAGGTCATTACAAAATGACCATGGAATTAATGAAATGCTGACATTTAACTCTTTACAACTTACAGAATTGCTATGCAACATACATTGAACATAGAAATAAAATGAGCACTTTATGGAATTAAAGTTTAGCGTAAATAATGCTGAAATAATATTTTAATTTGAAAATAACTTTTCTTATTGTATGAGATGCAAGCAAGTATAAAAAAGCTATAATTTGGCAATAAATTAAGGATTAAATGAACTTTTAAAAGTGCGTGAAAATGCGTGATTGCGGGGAAACGGTAAATGCGTGATTTTGCGTTAGAAATAGGAAATAGTATATGCGTTAAAATGCGTGACTGCGGGGAAAGGTGTTAACAAGTTTGTTGAGATTCTTGTAATACAGTTCATGTGTGATTTGCCTATTTCGGTTTGAAAACTGATAAAGATGTTTTAGTACATATGTTTGGCTTTTGTATTGGAATAAGATAAGATAAAATGAACATATTCGGTCCAAATTGTACATTATTATGTAAATGATAAATGTAATAAGAAAGGATGTTTAACTCATGTAAGATAAAAAACAGTATTCATTCTCAAATTCAATTAATACAAATCAGGAGCAGAGCAAACATGGAGCTCTGAAATATCAGAGGTGTGAGTAGGTACCATGGAGGAGTGAACATCCCCTGCCGACCGGTCACACCCGTTGTGTGCTCCTTGTCTCGACCGGAAAAAATCCGTCGACAATTAAGTGTGAAAATGATTCATGGCCTAGCAATTGGTATGAAAAATTTCAGTTGGTATTCGACTTAATGAATAATTGCATTGATAAGGTTGTGTATCGACCATAAATCTTTCGAAATGGCATTAAACTGCTGACATTCTTGTTTCATCAACGTTTGTCAATAACATCTCTTTTTCCTAAATTGTACCTACGTAGAGCAGGCTCTTGCGTATAGAATCATCTGAGAAATATAAAGAAAGGTGACTATTGGAAAGTTAATGTCATTACGTTTATAATAATTTTTCCACTTCTGATTTATTTGATACAGATGGATGTTGATTTTCCTTATAAAGATATGTCGTGAAAGACTATAATACTCTTTAAGTAGAAAATTCAGTCTTTTGGTAAAAAACGTTTCAAGTTTTTGAAAATTCGTGATGAACAGGTTTTTTTTTTTAAAATCAAGCATGATATATTCTGCTCTAACATTATAATTATGCCCCCCTTCGAAGAAGGGAGGGCATATTGCTTTGCTGCTGTCTGTCGGTCCGTCGGTCTGTCGGTGATTCATTTTCTTCACAAACGTTGCACATACTGAAATGAAATTTGGTATACAGATATATCACATGAATATCTAGGTTAAATTCTGTTTCGGGTACGATCGCGCCATTTTTGACAGAGTTATACCCCTTGGACTTAGAAAAATTTCAATTATTTGCAGTTTCCGTTCAATTTCTTTACAACCGTTGCACATACTGAGATGAAATTTAGTATACAGATTTATCAGATGAATATCTAGGACAAGTTCTGTTTTGGGTACGATCGCACCATTTTTCACAGAGTTTTTAGAAAAATTTCAATTATTTGCAGTTTCCGTTCATTTTCTTTGCAACCGTTGCACATACTGAAATGAAATTTTGTACACAGATATATCACATTTTTTTCTGGTTTAGGTATGATTGCACCATTTTTCAAATGCCCCTTGGAAGAAAAATTTCAATTATTTGCATATTTTCTTTATTGCCGAGATGAAATTTAGTATACAGATTTATCAGATGAATATCTAGGTCAAGTTATGTTTTTATAATTTTTAATGTGTTTTACAAACATCTCTTGTTTAATGTGTTTTGCAAAAGTTAGAAACACTGTCATCAGACGTTACTTGTTTTTCTTTTAATGAAATATACCTTCTACCTTATTAGGTAGGGGGTATAATTTTTTTCTAAAAGAAAAATAAGTAACGCCATGTGCCTGTGTTTAGAAATATAAAGTAGTACGAACAAATTCAGTTTTAAAAATTTGTCAATTTAAAGTTAAGACGAGTTATATTTTTAAATTAAACCCATTTACAAAAAGTCAAAAATAAAATGTGCTTTTGATTTCTTGATTTATGTATTTTCAAAGATACATAAGTAATCTCAGAAGACATTATATTAATGATTAATTTGATATAAAATCTGGACATTTCATTATATTTTAAACAATGTGTTTTTGCCTCATACTGGAATATTTTTTCACATACTAGTAGATTAGTTTTTAAAGGAAGCAAACTTTAAAATGAACACCATTGTAACGGAAGAGATCAATTGATAAACACCATAACCTAGAGATTTTATCTTTTTCGGTGCCAGAGTTTATTGTGCTTTATCAGATTTCTTGCTTAACAGTTTTAATATTATTTGAATAGATAAAAGAATATATCCTAAATCTTCATTTAAACTTCCGCATAGACTACGGAGAACACACCGTTCAAAAAAACTGCTTACACAGAGGCTTTGGGATACATGTAAGACTTATTTTGGACAGTACAATATAAGAATTTCTCAGACAAAGTAAGTTTTTTTTAAATTATATAGGTAAACATTTGTTTTTATTTTATGGGTCCTTATAAATTATTCGAAAGATAATATACATCGGTTATTAAAAGAGGAATCTTAACAACAGTAAAGTTCGGGTATATTCAAAATTAGAATAACGAATGCTTCTCTATTTATTTTTTTTATCCTTAATTCATATTTTGTTTATCTAGGATATTGATTTTGAATTCATAAATTGTCAAACTTTTTCGACAATTAATCCTTCAAAATATAAATCTGAATATCTAAAAGATACATGAATTATAAGAATTTAATGACGTTGATAATCAGAGTTTAAAATACTTTTTGTAGTTCCTTTCAACGGAGAGCAGTAAAAAGAGTTATAGATGGGTAAGCCTTCGTGAGAATTTTTAACCCTTTAATTCGTAAAATCGCTAAAATATCTATTAGAAGAATAATGCAATTCTCAAGAAGAATAAAATTGAAAATATATGTTTCTGAATATTTTGTATTTGCATGTCAAGAGTTGTCTTTGGCGAATTTGAAATTCAAATTAAATGCACCATTAAGTTCATGTTTGTTTTTTATGTTAAGTTTCATTAAAATTGTCCTAGCCATCTTTGATTATATCAAATTCTCTTAGAAAGAATTATTTAGTACAAAAAAATCAATGACGTCCTTTTTCAGTATTTGTAGATAAATACCTAAATACAAGAAAGATAATCCATACTTCTTTGTTATAAATCTCAATAAGCAGTGAGCATTCTAAAGTAACTAAGACGTTTAAGCGTTAAAAATCAATATAATCGTTCGTTATTGACATAAATTTTGTTTTTCGAACTAAAAGAGAACATACGTGTAAAGATAAGAAAAACCGGTCTGTTCAAACGAAATATTGATTTTTTTCTATATATTAGATTATCTTTCGTACAAAGTTATATGTTATTGCAAAAATCTTGAACAAAATTACCATTGCAGATACATGTACTGAACAATATGATTAGTGAAAAAGGGTGAATATAACAAAAAATTTTATCTCATAGAAACTCCTTAAAATAATACTGTGACCAACTCTGGGACCCCTCGAACATCTAGAATTGAAATCAGGTGCCTTGAAAGAGCCCCTTATTGATCGGTCAGACCCGACACGAGCCCTACATGTTGATCATGTACACGGAACATGTCGTAGTCAAAATCAGTTTAAAAAGTAGGGCTAACAAGTGGTATGTAACAGGTCAGCCAAAGTATGACCAGTGATAGGTTATATTTGCTGATGAGGTCATTGTAATAACCATAAAATATTTGAAATGCTGACTTTAAACAAGGTTGTTGAAATTCCTGTAACATGAATTTATGTAACAGTAAGCTACCTCTGTTTTATTAAAGGTTCTCCGGAGAAGTGAATATGTTGGGAGACACCTTTTAGGGATAGCTATTTTAAGCGTTATTATTTGAAATTGTTTTTAAATAGGGGTATTCATCGATGTCTGTTGTACAAATACAATAAATAAATGAATTAAACTATTGTTTCTGTTCGGCTTGTAAATGTTTGAATTTTATGCCCCCACGAAAGGTTTTTATGCATTTAAAGTTTACGGTGTAAATGTTACTTTGAAGAAACATATGCATTTAACAATGCTTTCCTTTTTCAACAAATAGATAAGTCAATGGTACAAAAGTTGACGACTTTGATTAGCAGATATCGGAATGGAGACCAGTTAAATATGTACGTATATGCTATACATTATACGCTTTCTTTAATTCAATTTCTAAAGGAAAACTTTTCAAGCAGTTGAGATTTTTATTTGTTTTCTGAAGAAAGAAGAAACCTTTTGGTCCTCAACATAAATTTGAACTAAAAACTTTAACCTTGGCCGTAACTTTTGAAAAGATAGTTCTAGGGCAGGACTTTCATATTTCATATGTTTATTCCTTGTGAGAAGACCTTGAGCTTGGAGTCAGACTTGCATTTGAGAAACTTCAACTTTTTTTTATAAGCTGCCATGCAGGATAATTAGTGTTTCGCAAAGGCATCTTGTATATGTTGCTTTAGCATTTCACACGGAAATTATCTTGAAATTATTGAGACAACGTATTTAGGGTTGCGTTTGTTTGACACATACTTGCACTTTGACACAGGAATTTTATGCTTAACATTTAAGTAAATTAGAATTTTTGTTGAGTATAAACGAAAAATACCAAAATTGTAATTCAGAAAATTCATGGCAAAATTGTGAGAAAGCAAAACCAACTCAATATAGTATTGCCTTATTGTCAGTCCGTGCTTATTGACGTGTGCAGAGTTTAATAAATTGAACACAATCGGTGAAACGTTAACATTAACAATAGTAGAGCTCTGCCTTCATGCTTCATTTTTAGTATATATAGTTAGATCAATTATATCGCTATATTTGATTTGTTTAATTTACAGACACTCTAAGATTTTATTAAAATCTACTCCCTAAAAAGATTGGAAAATTAAACATCTTTTCCTGAAATGAACAAGGAATTTTCTTTGCTTTATTGTTTAGGGACTTACACGAAGAAGTTTTAAAGAATGGGGTTGAAGAGATACAGAAAAGTGTAGTACAACTGCAGAAGGATGCATGTGGAATAAATCTGTAAGACAATATCATAAAGTGTCACAGTAACGTAATTAACATTTTAATCATAAACATATCTGTCTGAAATCTTTCTTTTTTCTTATAGCAGTGCAAGGTGCTCGCATAATCTTTAATTGGGAAATGTTCATTCCCATTCCAAATCATAAAGGATACTCAATGGTAAAATAGATACATTTATTAACGAATAAGGAAGATATTTTAATATATTGCAAAGCACTCACAGAAATATATGTAAAAGAATAATGTCACTAGTGGGAATTACTCTCAAAAAATAAAGTTAAAAGCATTGAATTTTCTATTACATGTATTACATTTCCTTTTATTTCAGCTTGGCCAATATCATTTAATTAAGTGACATATGCATTCACTTCATAACACGATAGGATGGTGATTTTATGCGATTTTAACATAAAATAATGGAAAAAAACTTTATATCGGTAAAATTAGCAAAAACTCAAAGCATGTTGCTTCAATTCATAACCGATTTAAACTTTAGTGCTAGAAATAAACAAAATATATTTTCAACTTGACTCTTTTCAATACAATTTTCATGGTGGGAAAGCACCTCTCGCATAGTCATTTTTTTTTTGTTTCAAAGAATGCAAGACTTTTTTAAAGACTGGATTTGTACTTTGGCATCATAAGAATCTGTTGTTGTGCATGGCAAGACTAAATGATGTTATAGGCTGCAATGGCCAGGAAAGTTGTTGCACGACAATTTGGTGTTCATAGAAACACCATCGGGTGATTTTGGAAACTTTTCCAACAATGCGGAAACACTTTAGATCGAAACCGTTAACGGGGATGGGGATATCATTACTTTTTGTGGAGGGGTTTTCCAATGAAATATCATTTTGATTTTTTTCAAGTTGTGACAAACTTTTTTATTCAGTTCAATCAATTTTTTCATCCTTAAAAATGTTTAAAAAAGACAATGATAGTTTTTACACAATCAACTTAGGTAATATTCAGGTAATATACAGTAATGTATATACATTTGTTTTATTGATATAATTACATAAGCAGGGTTGATATTTCAGAGAAACTGCAAATGCGTGGACCAAAGGAAAAGAACTGATCGAGAAATCCTTGCAAAGTCTTCAGTTTCTGCTCGAGATCCTACAATCTACAGAAGATGAAAAGATTGTCCGGTTCCGGTAAATATTCAGAATTCAGTGCTATTTTGCTTTTTCAACAACTGTAATTTCTATGTATGTTTTGAGGATTTTGACTTTAAGATTGGTATACTAGTATCATATATCTATGTGTTCTGATGAATGTACGGAACTATTAACGGACGTAACTGTCCTACAAGGTGCTAAAATGAATTATTCAGTACTTAACAGTATTCCACAAAGCTGCCACATAGATGACAAATCCTTTTGAAGCACCCAAGACTAGCGAAATATTGAAGGTGTTATACTGTTGTGTTTTTGGGTACAAAAATATTTTTTATGATTAAAATTTTAAAGATACAGATGGAAAAAGCAATAACAGAATGAAATCTGATATTGATATGATACATGTATATGATTATTCAATTCTGAAAAAGTGGTATAGAAACCGAAATCATTAAATTCTACTTGATACTTTAAAAAAAAAAAAAAACTTCTTCTTCTAATTCATTTTTCAGACAAAGCAAGGATATACTTCCCAAAGTGATGGACATAACTGAGGCTGCTTCTGACATGGTTAACAAGCTTTTCGTTAAAATTGCAAGAAAGTAAGAAAATTACCATTTAAATCTTAAATACTTGGTATTTAGGAAACAGAGGAAAAAAGACAGAAAATATGAATCAAGTAATATAAGCTTAAAACTATTTTTAGAAGCTTTAGAGACTATAAATTCTTCCAAAAAAAAGGAGAATTAAGAAATAAGATACAGAATTAAATACAAGTACATTTTTTAACTTTAAATAAAAAGCAGCAATTTATTAAAGAGGTCAGGTAGGTTGTAGCCATTTTTTGACTATATTGATCTCCTTTAGAAGAAATAATGGTAAACAAAAATTATCAAATTTTAAAACGTAAATCTATGACTCTTTCTTTGCCAAATGATAGCTGACAGTATAAAATGTTTCTGTCTGATGGTTAATTTATTGACCCCAGCCACCTTAAATATTTCAAAATAAAACTTGCCTTACAGTTTAAGAAATATCTTGTACAAAATTTCGAATTGAATCAGACACGATTAATAAAATTTAAAGAAATGAGCATAAAACACTAAAAATATCAAAAACAAGAAAAGAAAAACAAAAAAGCAACAAGTACATTGATTTCCGAATGTTTGCCAAGATTACGAGTGGTCTTCATGCAGATTGAGCTTTAGCTTCATATTTACATTACAGTTTCCCCGATGGAAGATGGGAAACAGTTATCAATATTACAAAAATCCCATCCATCATAGACGACATTTTGGGATTTATGACACCAGAAGATCCGACGGACTTATCCGATTCCGCCAATATTGAGGGGGTTCAGCCATCCGTAATTAAAACGTATGTATGATCACAGAAAAATAGGATCTAGTTAACAGTAAACATGGATTTATAAAATGTAAAATCTACTACATGCCGAGGCCATATTTTTTTCAAACTGTACATCGCGGCATTAGGTTTCGCCCCTTTCACACATCATCTTATATATTATCTACAATCTTTGTTATTATTTTTTATTTACATTATTAAGAGTGGTTATAAAACAATAAAATACTCTGAGTGGCATTGACTCACCTTTATTTCATTTATCTCTATGAGTTTCAAAAATAATTGTTTCAGTGTAAGAATCGACCTTTTTAAAAAGTGTGTTACCTTTTCGAAGAATGTGTGTGCAACATTATCTCCAGTTTTAAAGGAATTGAGAGAAACAAAATCAAGGTATGTTTTCAAAATATTACATATGAATAAAAATTGTCTCTACAACAGACAAAAAGTAAAAAAAAAAAAAACAATTGAAATAAATTATTTGAATTAAATACTTATATATTTTCTTATTATGGTCTTTCTTTTAGATGCGTTTACCGTATATTGTGCCGATCTATTAAACATTAAGTTATATACAGTGTGCAAACCATTATATCTGATATGTCAATATTCATTTATTAGTACTTTATTTTGATTGCAGATCAAAAGAATCCTTCAAACCATTTTTGAACTGCATTTTAAAGCAATTTCTTTTCCTTCAACGCTCATCAGCCTTGTTGAAGGAGCTCATAAATTTTTCAACAGATACAGAATGGTATATTTTACAAAAAAGTTGAGGATTCTTAAATTGATTTTGAAGAAAAACTTTTAAATAACATCTCTTAATGTAACTCAGAAAAAAAAACTTATGAGAAGGAAATTAAAGTAACATATTTATTTTCTAAATTTGATCAATAAATCATTAGGTATTTTAAAAGTTTAATTATCGTTTTTATTTAAATTTAATTTGATTTTACTTACCAACATGTATTCTCTAGGAAAAATCAGGAACAGAGTTACTTGGAGTTTTTCAAACAGATAAAACACATCCTACTGGAGGGCAAAAGGATTATATGCTGCCTTTGGTAAAAATATTTTCCAGTATCCTGCTATAAAAAATTCAATTCATTGAATTGGCTGCAAAGTTATTGGTACTTTGAAGCATCTACCACTGAGTTTTAAATCTAAGTTGAATAATTGTATTTCATCTCACATAAAAACAAAATCGGAAAACAAAAACATTTTTTATATACTTTTTCTGTTTTAATTAGTCCAGCAGATGGGGTTCCAAGTGATTTTCAAGTCGTTATACCTCCAAAATGTACCCTCATCAAAGAGTGCACGAAGAAAATGGGGGACTTTCAAGGAAGGTTAGCATTCTTTTTTCTACTAAATAATAAATTAAGTCAGTTTGAAAAAAAAAACGTCACTCAGACCTATTGGAACGTGTGGCGTAAAGATTTACCCCTTACTCTGATTTTCTAGAGCACTGCGCTTCACGGGCGACAAATGATAAGAAGAAGTAACAATTATACAAAAGTAAAAAAATCTTGTGAAAAGTATTGTCGTTAAAACGACATCTTTATATTACATGCATTTTGCTTATAAAGTGTGTGGAAATTTACGGCATTCAAAATACCATAACATGGACAGGGCGTCGAAAGGTTAAAGCTTGCTTTGAAAAGAAGCTGTTGCATTGGCTCTTACATTAACTGAACCTTAATTACTCGAACGATAGTTCAGTGATTTTGAGATATAAATCACATTTGCAGTGAAGGCATTGAGTTAAAAATGTAAATCTAATATATGTGCAATGCGCGCGTTATTCAGTTTGTTTGCACACACCATTGTAGTTATGATACTATATCTTTCAAAAAATAATGATTCATCGCTTAAATAAAAACAATATATCGATTAGGTCTTGTCATATTGATTGACGTTTTTCATAAACGTCGATAGGCCGTTATTTTCACACTTGATGGCTAATGGATTTTGGCATGCCCGATCATGACGAGGAGCCCACGACTGATTTGTCCAATCAAGAGAGTGTGCTTATCACTCCATTGCACCTGATCCCATCTCTGATAGAGACACAGGTATATGTTTTTCTGCTTCAAAATTAATGCGAAGGATATGGAGATAACGAACATTATTCAATATCAAAGTCCATAAAACAATACAAAATAAGAGCAGAGCAAGCATCAGAGGTGGGATCAGGTGCCATGGAGGAGTGAGCACCCCCTGCTGACCAGTCACACCTGCCGTGTGCTCCATGTCATGATCGGGAAATAACGGAAAAATCCGTCGTCAATTCAGAGTATAAATAATGGAATAACAATAAATATGAAAACATCAGTATTGTTTCAATATCTTTTTTTTTTTACTTTTTAAAGATCAAAGGAGGAGCTGAACTCTGTGCTGAAGGATATTGAAGTGGCCTGTGATGGTATAAGTAAGGCCAGCGAATTCGGAGAGAAGTGGTAAATTTGTGTTAATTTACTCTTGATTTACATCAGTGTTTTGATAAATTTTAACAGTTAAAGTCATACACGTATTCCATAAAATAAAAATAAATTTAGAAAAAAATACGTTTGATGTGCTATTACAAAAACTTCCAAAATTGCTTCTGAAGTTGGTGTAAAATAGTACTTTGTAAAAGTTAGGTTCAATATTCAAAGAAGAAGATAAAATAAAAAATGAATGGGGTCTCAAAATTACCTGATCAATACTTAGGGATCATGATGGGTGTAACCAACCAGCAAGGGATGCTCCTATGCACCTCATCCCATTTCTACAATTTCTGGGGGTCCGTTATGTATGTCTTCCTTACAGAATTGTATTGTTCATTGATTCTGATGCATTGATTGTATATTGTTTAACGTTTCTCTTGAGAATTTTTCACTCATACGAGTGGCGTTCAATAAATAATGTCACCAATTAGATTCCATAACATTCAGGGTTCAGATGATATTCAGATTTTTTTCATGCATGATTTGGTGTATAATTTATTTATAGCCGTGTATCTGACCACGTTTCATCATCGAATACTCCCTTGAGAAGCTGATATATAACTCATACTCGAGACACTGTATGAAAATATGACTGGAAAGTCATCTTTCAATAAGGCTGAAATTAGAGGCTACATTAAAGACTCAAAAGACATTTACAAAGAATTATGTGATGTGTATGGTAACAAGTGTATGTCATTGAGAGGTGGGTGAGCAAATTTAAACACGCACAAACAGACCTTAATGAAAAGCAACGTCCTGGATCACCTCGAACTGCTTAAACTGATGCAAAATTATCAAAAAATCATTCTCATAGTAGTCGATTAACCATTAAAGAGATAGCAAATTAAGTTGGTATTTCATCGGGGTCAGTTTTCACAATTTTAAAGAAACACCTTGGCCTCTTGAAGGTCAGTGCACGATGGACAGGATACCCCATCTTTTAACATAAAAACAAAAACGATTGTGTGTTGAAATGTCTAGAAAATTACTACATCTACAAAAACTATGATGCACGACTTTTTTTCGGAAATAGTTACAGGTGATGAAACATGGATATATTATTTTGACCTCAGAGGAAAAGTGATAACAAGATGTGGTGGACTGAAAAGCAAAACGCCCTGTTATTGCAAAACGATATCAAAGTACTAGAAAGTGTTGTATGCAATTTTCTTTAATAGTGAAGGTCCTGTAGTTCAGGTTACTATTCCAAAAGGCCGATCAATCACCGGACAGGTATATAAAAATTATGTGCTAAAGAAGGCTACAAAACACTAAAACACTAAAAAAAGAAAAGACCAAAGTCCGGAATCCACAACATTCGACTTCTTCAGGACAACGCTTTTTCTTTTCCTAAAATTGAAAAAGCACTTCTCAGGAAGAAGATATGCTTCAAGGAATGCTTATGTTTCTGCCATTTATCAGGTCATGAATACCATTCCCCTAAAACTTTATATGAATGCATTCAAAGCTTGATAAAACGGCTGAAGTTTTGTGTATCTGTCAAAGGAGAGTATTTTGAAGGGAACCATTAAAAAAGAATTAAGAACAAAATTAATCGCTTACGTTATTTTTTTTAACATCGATGGCATTAATTTTTGAACGCCCGTCGTACGGAGACGCCATCACTTGCCGGTTGTAGAGCTGTAAATTTTGTCCTATACTCGGCACTTATGGCCTTTGAGCAGGGAGGGATCTTTTTCGTTCCAGCACCTATCCGGCAACACGGGTCCTCGGTTTATACGGTCTCATCCGAAAGACTGGTGCCCAGGTCTCACAGTGGGACTCCTTACTTCGCGGCTCTAGAGCAGACGCTCTAACCACTGCGCTACGCGGGCGACAATAGAGAGGTTGTCACCGTCTGCTATCTGCAATTTTTCTTATTAAAAAACTGATAGATCATACCTTCTTCTTGTTTCAGTCTACCTCCAGGCGAGCAGTTCCTGGGAGAAGATGTTTCTGTGATGGAGACAGGTTCTGATTTTGACCCAGATTCTGAAATCAGTGTCACAAAAGCGTCCATTAGAGATATTGAAGAAGCTACAAAAGACACCAGTATTCTGCCGACGGAAGTTGTCGGAGTCTATAAAATGAACAACATTCATGCCCAACTTAAAGTTAAAATAGATCACAAACGTCCTCTGGTTTGTTCACAAATCAAAGGACAAATAATAGAAAACGGAAAGAAATCCAGAGTACCTGTGAAAAATATTATAGTTGACGTAAGTTATAAACGTCATATTTACTACCGTTATTAAGTCAACAATTTTCATTCTGATTCCTTGTTTGATACACTACATTCCTCTTTCTTAAACTCTCGCTGACTTTCGTATTTTTTCAAAATTATGACTTTTTTTCTTAGGGAACTACTATTGGTCTTTCTTTGACCAAAGGAGACTTTCTTCTTCTTTTATACGATTTTCCAGTGATCAAGAAGACCATTAAACAGTCCGAGTTAAAAAACGGGGAAGTAACCGTCGATGTGCCAGGTGATGCATCATGTAGTGTTACTGTTAGCAAAAAGGACATTCAGGAAAACCTCAATCTTACATATGCGGTAGGATACTGATTAAGATTGCTTAAGGATATTATCTAATAATTTTTGGAGATGATTTAATGGAGTTTTTCTCATTTTGTTTCTTTACCAGTTTAACTTTTTAAGGGAGTATGGGACTTTCGGGTCCTAATTTCAGAGTAATTAAAACTCTAAAATAGATACACCGATTGAAAGAAGAACATCTCTTTAGTTTACTAAAATGCATTAGAAAATGTTCTAGTGCGTGAATCTAAAAATAGAACACGTCAAAATAAGGGGAGTAACTCTGTATGAAAAAATGATATTTTTATAATCAATTTTTAAAAATACAGAATTCCCATAAAAACATCGGAAAAATAATTATTTTATAAACTATTGTCATCAACTGGAATGGAATTTAATTTCTAAAAGAAAAAAGTACAAGGAAAAAATCTAGAAAGACAAATTATTCTAACTTATTTATATAATATCGATTTATTGGGGAAATGGGTTAATATATATGTACAATGTAATTTTAAGCAAATGAGGAATAATTAAAAGTTTAATTTTTTATGCAACAATTAAAGCAATTTGCTTGTTTTACAAATTGCTAATAAAAAATTATAAAGTTAGTGTTCAATTTTAGAGTAATCTCCTTCCGAATTTCCTCAACCCGAATTTCCTCTGCTCCTAGCTGTTATGAAATGGTACAGTTATGAGCTTGCAATCATAAAATGTTTGTTTTTAGTTTTTTATTAACTTGATTTTTATCAATCAACACTAAAAAATTTCCATCGTTGCTTTATTTCTTTCGTAACACGGTGGAAAATGGATTTCGCTCGAGTTTTGCCAAGCAATCCGGAAATCTTCCGATTTCACGATTTAGTTTTGTACATTATAGTGTATAAGTTATTTCCAGTTTGCAACTCAAACTCAAAATAGATACGATGTTAACTCAAATTAGCTGATTAAAGGAGGTATTTTCAATTGTCCGTGAATAATTATTATTTAAAAAAAAAAAAAAAGAAAGTAAAGTTCGATTGTTTCTAACGTTTCAGTGAAATTGATGAAATAAAGTTATCAGGCGAAGATGGAAATCACGGAATGCCTACATGCAGTGTACATTGCATTGGCACTGCCTCTAATCCGAGATTCCTTTTTTCCCCGCTTTTTATCATGACTTGTCCGCACAAGTCATAATATAAAAGCGGGGGTTACAGTCAGAGGAATCTCGGATTACACTGCCTCATGCACTGAATAAGATTAAAGATTGTATTTCCACGTACAATTTTGATTAATTATTAATCTGAGTCTTGTTTTGGATATTTTTTTATGTCCAGTAGCATATAAGCCTAAAGATGATATATATACATATATATGAATCAATAACTGATATGGTTATCACCGCACATCTGTAGTGTTATGGTTTTATATATTTGTCTTGGACCATAACAGTCAAAGACAAATATATAAAACCATAACGCTACAGATCTGCAGCTAGGGCACCCTGTTAAGATGGGGGGAAAAGTTACACCACCACAATACACTAAAATGTATTTTGCTACACATGTATAATAAAGAGAAGACTAGAGTAAAAACAATATTTTATTAAATATTTATATTATAAAGCTGGAACAACAAATTACCAAAACAAGTTCTTTGATTGAGTTTCACTAAAATATATTAATTAAAACAAATATTGAATGATGTTGACCGTTGAGGGCAACTTTATTTTTATGATTAGTCTCCAAATGAGGTTGAAATATTGTCCAACGTGGAGCAAAGGACAATATTTTCATCCCACGGAGGCTAACATAATCTGAATGTCACCCGAAAACAGTCAATACCGGTTGATATGTACCCGGTACTATGCAAAACAAATCAAAAGAATATAGTATTTTGTTTAGCAAATCTTGTTTTTTTTACATTGCGACGTGATGTTTTTTGCAAGTTGCGGCTGTTTCATTTTGTCACAATAAACAGGCAGGTTTTGAAAGGGGGGTTCCAGGGTTGTGTCCCTTTAACCCCCCCCCCCCCCTCCCCTTACACACTCTCAGTCTCTCAGGCAAAAATTCACACACACATGTATGGAAAAATATAAGATTGTGGAAAATATCTTTGTTCTATATACGTCCTTTTTTCTTTGAAAAGGTACCAGTCCGTATAAAAAAATTAACACATTTAAAAAACTACTGAAGCATTAAAATTGAATGGATTTGCAGCATTTCTGAAGAGTAGAATGGATTTTCTTAAAGAATTTGAAAATCCTTTTTGGGTTGGGTATAAAACAATGAATTAAATTTTAGTTCCTTCATAAGATTTAATTAAAAAAAAACGACACCTTCTTGTATATAGCCCAGTGGTGTAGCATTGTTTTTGAAAGTAGGGGGGCCAGCCAGAGAAAAAAAATTTTTACTTATCTGAAAAAGTTGACAAACAAAAAAAAAAAAAAAAAAAGGTAAAGTTGCCCAAACTCTAAAATCCTATTTCATGAGGGGGGAGGGGGTAAATTTTTTTTCAGTGACAACTACTTCAGTACCAATTCTATTACTACACTTTCGGTACATCACTGAAAGTCTAAAAATGGGGGGGGCCAACCAGACTTTCAATTAACATTTCCTATAGGATATATAGCAGTCCCCTCTGGGAAATGACCGTTGATATGTTTTGATGCCAAAAATCAGAAAAAAAGTCATTTAAATATTGATATTGTTTAAAGTAATATATGTTCACTCAGAGATTACAAACATTAATTTAAGGAGCTTATTTCTAAATGTATTACTATTTTGTTGACTGTTTTTCTAAATAGAGAATATAAGGACTATATAATCCAATCCACACTTTGCAATAGTTATGTCCCTTTGATGGGTCAACCAAAAGTCAGATGGGAAAGAAATGACATTTCTCCTCTTTATGCTACAGAATATTTTGGGCATGGTAGGATAAATCATCTGTGTTTTAATTTTTTCTTTTGATATGTGTTGGCCGATCTTGGGGCAATGGATTATAGAAGATGCACATCTTTTTTCCATTCAGATGACAAATTTACAAATCAGAAAACTATAAAGGGTACTGTGAGGATTCTTTGGGTTTTTCCTCAAAGATGGCAGCCAAGGGACATAACTTTTGAAAAGTGTGAATTCAACTTTTCTTTAATGGAAAAAAATATATGATTTGACGAGTTTTTCAAACTATTTATTTTAAATGTTTTTTCTATTTTTAATTATCATTTTAAATTTTATTTTTTTTTTTTTACAATTCTTAAAATTATAAATTGTATTTTGCACATAAAGTATGTGGAAAACTTCGTCATTTAAAAGACATGATTGATGCCATTGACATTTCATATAGACTGAGGATAAATGTCTCTTTTTGTATCCAACTTCAACTGAAAAAAGTCTTCTGAAATAGAATCCATAATTCCTTTAGAATAATGCACAAATAGTTTTTCATTCAAATCTTTTATCCATAATTCCACATGGAGTTTGTTGACAATGCCACAGTTTCAGCAATACTGGGATAGGAAATTATACTGTGTCCAGTGATTTTCTTCCATTCATTTTCAAACCTGTAGTTTTGTCTGCCTGTTTCGTGATTGTCCTTTATGGAACAAAATATTGGTTCAAATGGGCTACCCGCTCATTGCTGATATGATGTTCTGGCTCACTGTAAGAAATAAAAAATTGATGTCAAAAAATAGTATTTTTAATTATGGAAATTGTTATGCTTGGTAAATGGTAATATTATGAAAAAATGAATATTCATATTTTTAATGAAAGATTACCTATAAACTGGAGTTGGTTGGAAAAACAGAAACATTTTTTTACTTAATTGACAACACCCTGTACAGACTAACACATTGACAAATATAAAATAAATAAACATAACATTTTACCTTAATGATAGCGGATGATCCATAAGTTAGGACACCGCATGAGAGGGCTGCAGTGGTACACCATATTATAGACTGGCCTTTAGAGCATCTGTCAGCTCCATCCCTATACATGTAGTTCCAAGTCTTCTCAAGTCTCCATTTAGCAGATATAAAATGTTCTATATTCTCCTTTATCTTGACTTCATGTGTCCACAATAACAGGAATACCTATATTCAAAACATATACATGTTTGTACATCTGAGGAGCATTCATTGATTTGTCATGTTTATTTTTACATGTACATGAAATTTTTATGTGCTTGGATTGATAGATATGAGGCATATTTTGTTTTTGTCCTGTCTGTTTGTTTGTCTGTCTGTCTGTTGTCAACTTTAACCTTTGCCATAACTTTTGAACCATGAGAGAAAGAGACTTCATATTTGGTATGCATACTCCACTAATGAAGCTCTTTCAAATGATACCAAGGTCATGACCTTGTGATCTTGACTGTGACCTATATGCTAAAAATATTTTTTTACCTTTGTTGCCACCGGGCGCATGGTTTTTTTTTCACAAACACATCTTGTTGGAATATTGGGCATTCTTTAATCTGCATTAATATTTCATTAAATACTAAATAATTGTTTATGTGCAAAACATTTTGAGCTATATTAACTAGTCTAATGAATAATAGCATGACTATTTCCAAATTCGAGTATTGTCTGCATAATTATGGACCTTTGCGAAAAGTATTGACTTTTACATTTGATGGTTGACTTTGACATTTAAACCTAGGTCGTCCTTAAAAAATTGTTTGTTTGGAATTGCTGCCTCAAGGGTTTCAGACACAGGTGGGAGGGAGGTAATTTTTTTTTTTTATTGAAGATAAATTTTAATTTTTTGATAAAAATCTCAGTAAACAATAAATACATTTTCTGACTTTAAAAAAAAATATATCTACCATCAACAAAAAATACCTATTTTTACATATATCATGTATATCTGACACTATATTTCAGTGTTTTGTATGGTGTATGTGATACATGTAACGGGCAAAAAAAATTGATTAAATAAAAACAAAAATCTTTCTACTTTTGGTCAGTAAAATTTTTTCAGGAGGGGGCATTTCAATGAGGCGGGAGGCAATTCCAAACAAACTATAATTTTATTTTGGCCCTATGTCATGTACTGATGTATAGAATTGATAAAAGATATGGAAACATTACTAGTGCAGTAGTGGTTATAGATAGTGTTTGGGGCACTAACATGTGAATGGTGGTATTTGAGGGTAGAATGGTTGTCGGATTCTCTATGTGCTTTAATTTCTGCCGATTATTTTTGTACAATAATAAATGTTGACCTAAACATTTTTATTTCAAAACAGCTTCTGTACATTGTCAGATTTTTTATAGTGTAAAAGTAAGCCATCGAGTGTAAAAGTCAGCAGTCCTCACAAGTCCATAGTATATTAAATATCACAGGAAATTGAGACAGTCTTAGCTCCCCCATTAATGCTACTCCTATACCCGATTTTGCTAAGACTGCCTAAGTCCCTGTGGTAAATATGTACCTATTTCAGCTATCACATGACAGATAAACCTACTGTATGTGTACATAAAAATGCAGGCTTCATATTTTAGCGGCTTAGGCACAAAATTTAATGCAATAATTAATGAATACTACTGTTTTATGCAGAAGAATTTTAGATGTGAAAAATATGTGCATTACTTTTGTTGTAGTGTAGACTAGTGATCGAAATATTGAACTGTAAATTGATGGGAAAAATTCCATAGAGTGTTCAACACCTTGCATGATGTTGCATCTCAGGTTAATTGTTTGGGTAATACATGGATAACAGTGTCTCAAATGATATATCTATATTTGGACATGATTGAGTACAACTGGATTATGTCATGTGAAGATCAAGGGATAGTGATACACGTATATACACCACTGTGGAATTGTATTAATTGTATTAATTGTGTGATTATAGTTATATAATCCAAGATTCCTCTGACTCTAATCCCTGATTTTACATTATGACTTGTGCAGGTTACAATGTAAAAGCAAGGGTTAGAGTCGGAGGAATCTCGGATTAATAGTCACAGTGCCCTTTAACCCAGCTTGAATATTTATATTGTAAAGAATTGCTATGAAAAAATAATAGGTTGAATTTAGAGACAAACCTGGGCAGATCAGACGAGAGTTATGGGCATGGTAGGGTGGGGTGATCATGGTGATGCGATTGTGATTCCTTCATTCGAGTGATCGTTGGCAGAGTAAGTTCAGTATGACACAGTTCATTATCGCCTTCTTTGGGTCAAAGAAGCATTGTTGTACCGCTAGATAGATTTGATAGACGAAAACCCAAGCTTTTTCCGCATTTCATGCTTTCCGAAACATCCGCTTTGTTGACATTGCCGAAAACGGCGATAAGCAAATAAGTCGTAAATATTACACTGAGTTGTGCTGTGGTTCGATTTTAATGACATTTTAGTCACAATTTATATTATTTCATATCAAGTATATCTATACAATACGTTTTACGGTAAAATTTAATCAAAAAATCATCGAAAGATTTTAACGACATACACGAACGTAAAATTCATTTACGTCACTTGGAGTTGCGCGGTGGATTCAAAATCGTCAGTTCCATACTCCCTTAATATAAAGTGATGGATTATTTCGTGACTAACTTTACTGGTTAAAACCGTTTTAATGCAAACTATTTTTAGGTTCAGAAAACGGACAAAGATCGCATTGAGGGATATAAAGAGGAATCTCCAGAGGAGTTCGGAATGATCGATATCTTGGATGGTATCTATTTAGAGACCAGTGTCAATGGTGTGGAGAGCAAGTTTAATTTCATTGACAACAATAAAACAGAAGAATCATCATACTTTAAAGTAGAGGCACACATGGATGGTGCAACAAAAAAGAGAAAATGGACAAGTGAAAGTTTTAATTGCCAAGACGAAAGTAATGGAAAACTATCAGTTCCTATTTCACTCAAGACCATGTACGTAAAACATATTAAAAATGGCTTGTGCTCAATTTAATATAAAAACATAATTATTTCAGCATATATTTTGAACATTTTGTAATAAAATTGAATCTTATTTGAGGGTTTTAAGATGTATAAAAATAAATGAAAAATAACAACAACAAAAAAAGCGTTCAAACAGCCTTTGTAACTTTCAAAATAATCAAACAAATCAATATATTTTTCAGAACGTATGTTGTGATGGTCTGCAAAGATATCCCAGTACCAGATAATGACAGCAATTTTGACAAATCCAAGTTAGTTCGTGAGAAAACTCTGACCTTGTTGGGGATTAAATCGAAGTGTAAAGCGCTGATTTTGTACAGATTCCCTTATTATGAAGACACGGAAGGCGTGGAAGAGGTAGAAGACGGAGATGAAGTAGAGGTCCACGTTGAGTGTATAGAATCCCAGCGATACTTCCTTAATGAAAGGGCAAACATCCTGAGAGAAAATGGCAAATGGATTCAATTTGAAGATGGCGATGAATCTGCCGATTTCAAGATTTCTGAAGGAAGCTCATTAGAGGTCGATGTTAAGGGATCTGCAAAAATAGCAGGACATTATCCAGCAAAGAAAGCGATGTTTTCATTTTTGAAGAATAGCAGTTGCTTCATTGAACTTCCCGTAGAAGTTGTAATCAGCGAGAAAAAGAAACTGGTGGGATATATTTATTGTAACTTACCTGGGATGGTTCTTCATTGGAGAAGGTTGCCATGGATGGAAATGAAGACACGATACAAAGGTTTCTTTATCTGTTCTTCATATACAAATTTATCTCATACGTGTTGGGGATACAGCCCATTAGATAAACTTGTGCTATATCAACGGGTAGATGCTTTATCTATAGCACTTCCGGTTTTGACACGATCCCTCGCTTCAAGATTTTATTTTATTGAAACTTTTCTTTGTAAAAATCATTGCCCTAATACAATGAACGATGAAGAGCTATAATATCGTTAAAAGCAAGAAAAAGATTCGTATATGTCAAAGAAGTGTCTTACTTTATCAAGGAACCTGTATTGACTAGAAGACAGATGTTACTCCCCCTTTAAATCGATTTCGGAGAAAGTAAAGCCTAGCAGTTAAGTTGTTGTTATAGGATATTCCTTCAACATCTTCAATAATGCTTTCTTATATTATACTACGTATTCCTACCTAGTAATAAAGATGTACATATAACTTTCCATGGATCAACAATGAATCTATATGTAGGCCCCTAGCCTTGCCTAACAAATTTTGTAATGTCATCGTACAAAGAGTTAACTTTCACGATCTCATGGTCCTTATAACTTTCAGTCAGAAGTTTGTTTGATGTAAAGCTCCAGCAATTGTCACATAATGTTTTCAAAGACGCAGATAGCAAAAATTACTAAATTTTGAACACAATCTACTTTCTTTTGAGACATGTCAACATCAACGGTGCTACGTCATCATGTTATACGTCATCAATTTGAATTAGCAATCATTCATGTAGTTTAGCAGGGGAAGTCTCAAAGTTTTGTTAAAAAGAAAGTCGCATGAGAGAAATAGAACATCTATAATTGTGTGATTTGATATTGGCTTTATCCAATTCGTTGAATAAAGCCAATATCAAATCACACAATATAGATATCCTCTTTTTATTTCATTTTTATTACATTTACCTCCTAAAAACTAAAAAAGATGTTCTAGCTTTCTTTCCTATAAATATATATATATATATATATATATATATATATATATATATATATATATATATATATATATATATATATACAACTTTATTCGATAACTAGATTAAATTTTAATTCATATTTTGGATAAATCAACGTTTGCCATCGTTGGTATTTTATTATCATTCATTGTTTAAGACATATTACATTTTTACAGATGCTATGAAATCAAAAGTACCACTGTCTAAAGGTATGAAAACAAATGTTTAAGAATAATTGTTTTGAAATAGTTATATTTGCAAAATAAAAAAAATATGTTTATACAACATTTTGCCTTCTCATATAGATAGGAGACAATTAATTATTCTGTTTGGATGATTTATTTTTTTAAGAACAAAGGAAGAAAGAACATCAAGACAAACAGGCCAAGCAAAAGACAAAAGAGATTGGTGTAACTAAAGGCATAGAGAGCCTGGTGAATGAAATAATCGATAGTTTTACAGAAGAAGATGTGAAAAATCTTAAAAAGGAAGAAAAGATGCCTGGAAGTGAAGGAGAAAGCCTTGTTGGTCGACTTATTGGCCGTGTTAACAAAGAAAAAGATAAATTAAGGTACTTAATGAATGTGCTGAGAAAGATTGGTCGAAACGATCTTGTCCAAGAGCTAACAGAAAGAGTTGAGCAGTATGGAATGATTTAAACAAAACAGTATGTCAAGTACACAAATGGAAAGAGAGGGAGAGAGAGAGCACCTATAGAGATCAAAATCACTCATGACGTTATGAAGTTGCTCGATTTAAAAAATGGAAGATTCATAAAATCGTTATGAAATAATATCTGCGTAGCCCTTAAAAATAGATATTTATCATATATTGCTACATTTTGATTAGCATTTTAGCATTGTTGTGAACTTTAAGTGCTTGTTTTCTTGTTTAATGTAAAGAGACATGTACAGAAACCTGTATCAAAGCATTAAATATGGTTGATGTTTAATAACGAAGAAGTCTGGATTTTAGGTGGATATCTAATTTGATACCTTTTATATCATTGACAGCTGCTTTTTCAATAAAAAATGGAACTTGTACATTAACTCACCTTGTCATTGTTCATTTGCAATATCATTTTGTTGAAAAAAAAACATTCTGCTTGTACACACAAGTACTCTGAAATTGATATTAAAAGATGCTTGATTTTCTAATTGATAATACATGTATCTATGTGGATTTTGGAGACCCAGTTCTCCAACAATCTATACCTCAAATAATTTGTCTGTCCACATGAAAGATTTATTGATTGTATATTGTTTAACGTTCCATTCGTGAATTTTTTCACTCATATAGATATGTCACCGTATGCCGGTGTAGGGCTTCAAATTTAAACCTGTCCTCGGCACTCAGGGCCATTGAGCAGTGAGGGTTCTTTATTACGCCAACGCCTACCGTGACAAGGGACCTACATTTTAAAAGTCATATCAGAGAGACCCGTGATTTTCATTTCTAATACCAAGCGCTTTTCGAAGGAAAAGTCACTACTTATGTTAACGTCTTAGGTTTGACGCGGCGCCGCGACCGAGAATCGATCCCGGGACTCCCGATCACGTCCTCAAGGAAGAAAACATATTAAATGCAGTTAATACTTTTGACCACGAATCTTTATATAAAAGAATTACGAACGCCCAGAAGGCTCATTCGAGATTCGAGTTTCCAAATACGAGATTCGAAATTCGAGATTCAAAATTCGAGTTTCGAGATTCAAGATCCAAACGAACCAATCAAAAGCGGGTTCAACATTTGATTACTCCCCTTTATTATGTTTTTACTATCAAGAAATAATTCAATATGATTATATCAAATGGGTCATTTGATTAAATTACAATGCAAGAAAAAGTGTTATATATATATTAGACGTAAATTTAAATAATTAATGGATTTTTGATCAGCAAAAAATATATCAATTTATATTATAGATTCTTAAATATTAAATAGATTACATATATCAGGAGTATATATATTTTTGTATCGTCAACTAAGTACCGGCCAGGAGGCGGTCGGCTCTATGATATGAAAGTTCGAAGTTGCTGTGCGTTTCTGCGGAGTTAAAACAATTTAGATAAAAAATATTTGACATTAATATAGTAGTATATTAAAAAGAGCGTCTTAAGGTTAAAGAAGAACGCACCATAAACATAAAATTAAAAATTCTTATGAAGAATGAGGTAAATATTTCATCCAATCCTATTTATGAACTTAGACATGTTTGAGGTGCGGAGAAAATTAGGACATGTGTTGGGCGTAGTCTAAAGCAAAGACCGCGTTATGTATATTACGCAATTTTACTTTCTCTATTCAAACGGGATTTGTTGTACGTATCTATTTTAAAATGACGTGTACATATGTACATATATAAACATTTTGAAACATATGTTTAAATGTTAATTCATTAAAAGACTTAGCAGGCTACAGAATATTACAAGATTTGGCCCTTAGCAGACGAGGATAACACGTTTTACAATGTGCCAAGAATTTTCCCGCTACAACTCAAAGAGAAGAAATGTAGTGGCGGATCTAGAGGGACCATAAAAGGAACAATTAATTGGTTTGCGGCCGATTTTTGACGCTTGCGTCAATATATGTTTCTTGTCTTAATTTTTAGAAAAACGCACGTGTGGACAAGACCCCCCCCACCCCCATCCCCTTGATATTGAACCCCAGGGCTTATTTCTCTGTTATGTGTAACCTTACAATACGAAAAAATCGCTGGCGTAAAACCCCCAGAATAATCGCTCAACCAAAAAAAAAAAAACAAAACAAAAAAAAAACAAAAACAAAACAAAACAAAAAAAAAACACAATTTATTACCCCACTTTACAAGAAAGAATGCTGTTTACGGAGAAAATGTGGGATTATTACGTGATGCAGAGTCAGTCCGATAGCATGGACTAAGACAGAAATACATTGTATATTTAGAGACAGTGACTGCAGTGGCGGATCCAGAGGGGGGGGGGGTTACGGGGGTTGCAACCCCCCCCCCTTTGGATTTGCAATTTAAGAGAAAGAGAAATAAGAAAGTACCAATTTTTTCGTTGTGTTTTTACTATAGGAAATGTAAGGTGAAAGGCTAATGTTGTATTATATAAAGAAATTCGGTTGTAAAAACAAAATAAAAACCCTCCCTTTACAAAATAGGATTTTCAGGTTCGGAGATTTATTTTCCTTTCTTTTTCAAAAACTTTCTGGTAATGTATACAAGTACTTTTTCCCAGATTGATCAACGTCCCACTTTCAAAAACCATACTCCACCCTGTATCGATATTCTATTGAGTTATTTAACTATATGTATGTGTACAACGTACGTTTTAACTGTTTTCGCCTTCAACCCCCGCTTTTGAAAAATACTTCACCCCCCCCCCCCTTTGAAAAATTTCTGGATCTGCGCCTGCAGTGTGAATCGACATTTAAAGTTAAAACAAAATAAATGCATTTAATACCAGAGGGGGTACAACGTAAACAGACTGGAGTGGCATATCTTTCTCTTATAATGTATAGTGGGTATTTGGGGGGATGTTGAGCGATTATTCTGGGGATTTTATATTTTTTTGTTATTGTATACATGATGAATAAGTTAAATAAATATATCTTATGAAAAAAAATTTCCAATAAGCCCTTGGGTTGAATATAAAGAGAGTGTACGGGGGGGGGGGGAGGGGGTCCCACCCACAAGTACCTGTAGTTTTCCTAACAGAAGAAATTCATAAAAATGTCGCTTAGTTGACAATTCAAAAATGTATATACTCCTGATATATGAAATCTATTTAATATTTAAGAATCTATAATATAAATTAAAATATTTTTTGCGGATCAAAATTCCATTAATTATTTAAATTTCCTTCTAATATATATAACACTTTTTCTTGCATTGTAATTTAATCAAATGAACCATTTGATATAATTATATTGAATTATTTCTTGATAGTAAAAACATAATAAAGGGAAGTAATCAAATGTTGAACCCGCTTTTGATTGGTTCGTTTGGATCTTGAATCTCGAAACTCGAATTTTGAATCTCGAATTTCGAATTTTGAATCTCGAATTTCGAATCTCGTATTTGGAAACTCGAATCTCGAATGAGCCTTCTGGGCTTTCGTAAAGAATGGCATAGTCCTTTTCAGTACTTTTAAGGCCTATCGTTATTTATTTACAATAGTCAAATTTGGAACATCACAGAACTTCATCCTGATAAAGTACATTTACATGTGCTTAAAGTAAGCACAGGAATGTCTTTAATATTCGAACATAAACTACGTTTGATGATTTCTTTTGTGAAAAATGTCAAGAAAAATACTTTCTATACTTATCTGCTTCAATGAAATTTACAACGAGATTCTTAATTAAAATTTTTGTGCCGAAATATCGGGATTGCACATTAATGGCAAATTAATGAAAAACCTAAAATAAGCATGGTTACATCACTCCTATAAAGAGAAATTCGTTCAAGAATCACACTTGTGAGCAATATCAAGTCTATTTTAAAATGTATCTTTACAGTACTTTTTCTGCGGAAAAATTCAAATATTTTTTTCAATATTTTTATTCTATCAGACGCTACAAAAGCAGGCTTTCTAGAGTATTGTTCTGTTGTCTTTTTGAGATTTTCTTGTCATTGTAACTTTATAGATGTACTCTTAAAAATAATCCTTTTACATCAGCATTATTGCCTGTGGCATGTGATTTTAATTCATTGAATCAGAGACCGAGACAATAATATTTCATTCCCAATATTTTTATTTTTTGGATAGGTAATTTTAAACTAGTTGAAAATATTTCATGAAACACCTGATATTAATTTCATACAATGTCTGTATTAATCACGATTTGAAACTTTTCATCTGATTTATCACAATTAATTCACTGTTTGAATGAGTCATGTACTTTAATTTTGTAGTGTACTGGGGTGTATTAGACGACTTTAAGAATATTTCAAAATAGGTTTATTTATGGAGAGCCATGTCAGTTAATATTAAAAGATATACGTAGTTTACAAAACCCTAGAATAAATAAGAAATGGATAAAATTCAGAAACAAAATAACATTATTGCCTTTTTAGCTCTTTTTTATTTTTGTTTTTTTTTAAACCCTTTCACTCATATCGAGATGCAACAATTATCTGATGGAGAACCGAAAATTAAGACTACTACACCTCACTTATATGGAGGATTGTTTTTATCCAAATTCTATTGCAACATGGGTCCTTGGATTATAAAATCTGACATGTATCTGCCACCATATCCAAAACTGTTAGACTGGTGCATGCAATGTAATGGTATAAAGTCAAAGATTTCATTATCCTTTTACATGTTCTAATATTTTTAAAAATTTATTTTGAAACAAAAATTCAAAACTGCTTTAAGGTTAACAAGGGGCGATATGACTATTGTGAAAAGACTAAGTTTTTGGAACTAGTGGCCAATTCCTTTAACGTGTTGTCAATAAAATATGTTCAAAACAAAACAATTAGAATAACACATTACCTAAAGTGGAACCTTCTAGAAAGTGGATTCTATGTTCTTTAATCTCCAAAATGATCATTGTATTATGAAGTTTGCTCTGAATCCGACCAATTTTAAAACTGAGGCAAACTACTGACAAATTTTGTTGTACACGGATTTGAACAACCAATTATTTGCAAATGTACGGTATGTATATAATTTCTTTATTCGGAAATTCAACCTTCGTTTGTCCTTACTTTGTCATATAACAAAACCCGTGTTATTCCTTATTTCGTAATATGTTTAAGGAGGAGTATGCCAATCTAATCAACACGTGTTTCTTATACCTTTAGAAATTTGTTCTTGTATCAAATCTATACTTCAAAAACTATAAAAAATTCCCCATGTTATACTGATCGATAACAAAACAAAATCGCATTCGTACTTTGTGATATAACAAAAACCGTGTTATTCCTTATTTCGTAATATGTTTATTAGCCCTGTATACTGTATTGTATTTGCCAACTATTCTGTATCTAAAATACAGCACGGTCTAAAAATTCTGATTCAATTTACCTTTAGAAATTTTTTCCTATTATAAATTTTGGGGAAATAGCCGGTATTTTCCTGAGAATATAAAATGTCAAAATTTCTCAATCACTTTTTAAAAACATTCCACACAGAATCTACACGTAATTTCGATCCAAACTAAAAGGAAAATTTTCAATAACGGAAAACATCCTCTTTACGTAATTTAGATCTAAAAATTCCACTCTGTGCAAAATATACATTTTTCCGCGATAACAAAACAAAATCGCATTCAATTTGAAAATAAAAATTGACATCAAAGTCCATCGAAAAATTTTCTGTAAATCCTGCGTAAATCCAGTTAAACCGGATTGAAATATATTATGATAAATCTCCATCTACAATAGCAGGTTAGGAAATTTATCCGTGGAAATATATATAATATCGAATTTAGCATACCTATATCAATAAATAAATAAATAAATAAATAAATAAATATACATAAATAAATAAATAAATAAATAAATAAATAAATAAATAAATAAATAAAAGTTTTTTTAAAATAAACTGTGTTTCTAGGAAAATTGCGTTCTATCGACCCCTCGATTAAAACTGTTTACCTTCGGCCTAACGGTCCGATAAAACCAGTGTTGCCTCAAAACCAGCCAATACATGTATAATGATTCATGGCGAGTGTGCTATGTAAATAGGGGATGACTACTGCTTCTTGTCACCTGATCAAACGTGTGGTGTTTTCGGCGGTCTATGATTTTACCCTATTTTCGATTTTTATAATTTTACCAATGTTTTCTTATTCTAACATTTTATATTCATTAATTTTCAGGGATTCTTACCTTCTAGTCAATTTCATCATTTTATACGCACACTCATACTTGATATAATAATTGCATACTATTTTACACTTATATAAATGCACAACTGAAAATACTGCAGACTATACAGCTTCATTATCAAAATTGTTCGTCTTGTTAACAAGTATGGGGTTAGCAAGAATTAAAAAAACACTGCTACCAAAAAAATGAACGTGTCTTAAATATGAAAGAGATGAAGATAACGAACAACGAATGAGTAAAAAAAATCTACAAACAAAAGAAATCTCTGAAAAGGATGAATTAAGGCTCTTTTGCCATCATGGCGCTTATTTGCTTAATTTAACTGTGTATGTTTCCAAATGGATTTTGCCATTATACTCCTCTGGGAGCGAGGATGGGATATCATTTTTTTAGATAAATGCTTTTTAAAGCTACTCCTAGACGACATTTTATGAAATGTTTGATTCCGCCAATTACAGTACGCTACCTAACCTTTCTTCAAATGAAATTATTAAATCTGAAATGCTTAAAAAAACTAGATCAAGTCAAAATTTGTTTTCTGACAACTGTTTTCTCTTAAAATTATGAAGATAGATTACAGACCAAAAGATATGCCAAACAATCCATGGTTTTGAAATATGCAAGAAAACGGATGGTAACAAAAAAAGTGAAATAAAAAGACAGAACACCTTTATTTGAATTATCCAACATTAGAATCACCCATCATGATGTGGGGGATGTCTGTGAGCACAAACAGCCAGGTTGGATCCCCATTGGTGACTGTCGCAATGACAAGTTGTGTAGTGGTCCATGTGATAGGTATCCCCGACTTTTATTATGTGTCCATCTGGTGCCTTGCAGTTATGACCTAAAAATACTTCATTTTATGAAACATAGTCGCTTGACGTCCCTTTTGTAATTTTTAAACTCATATCAAGACTTCCCTAGGGGTTGATGGCTTAAAATTTATACTTGGTACCTATGGTCATTGAGCCATGAAGAATAGGTGGAAAAGTGTAAAAGGGACGTTTAGCTAACAAACATAAAAAAATAAATAAAATAATTAAAATTACTATTTTTTAATAGTTTATTTGTATAGAGAACATACTTATTATGAAAAATGCCTTTTTTGAAAATTTTCAGGAAACTTGGATAAAAATTATGCATTTTCAAAGTGTAAACTAATCGAAAAGATAGGAATAAAGGCATTCCGGGAAAAAAATCTCATGTTTTTCAGACTGCAGCGGTATTCCATATCTCCTATTTATTAGAACGCCAATTTCTTTTAAATAGTAACATAGTTTTAGAAAGCAAGCGTTATCATTGCAAGCTAATACCTCTGATCTCTCATGCTGATAAACATCTTTGGCAAAATCAAAGGAATTCAATTTCTTTAAAAATGCAAGTTTTGCAAACTGATGCAGTGCAAAGTTTCATATTTTAAAATATATTCTTTGGTCGATACAATGACCTTGTCAGCAAATACAATTTATCATTGAGTCAAATGCTGACTGACGTTTTTCATACTAATTGTTAATCCATAATTTATACACTGAATTGACGACGGGTTTTCCGTTATTTCGCGATCATGACAAGGAGCACACGGTTGGTGTGACCGGTCGGCAGGTAATGCTCACTCCTCCATTTACCTGCATGATCCAACCTCTGATGTTTTGGAGGTCCGTATTTGCTCTGCTCCTATTTTGTATTGTTTTGTGGACTTTGATATTGAATACTGTTCGTTATCTCCATATCCTTTATTTCTAAAATTTCATATGACATTGAATTATGTTAAGCTGCATAAAAAAAATTCTCAATGGAAGAGGAATATCAATATAAAACCTCATCTTAAAACGTTCAGTTAAATAATAATCCAAAAGTTATTGAGAACCTTACATCCTTAATTTGAATGAAAACTCATGTACAGATTCTTGTTATTCACACTATTGCTTTTCTCAGAAAAGTGTCCCAAAATTAATTTGGTCTAGCATGTGCATCATAACAATTTAGAGGTCATTACCATTTGGACACGTTGGGCAACACTTATCCTTTTCATGAATCGGGTCAACACAGGGTGTCATAACGCAGTCAGCAATGGCGCACATAGCCTGTCCACTGGTGGTACACTGGCAATATTCGCATGGAGTCGGGTTAAAGGAACCAACTGGATAGTAGGAACCGTGGTAATAACATCCTGCAGTTGTCGTCAACTCCAGGGGAAGTAACTCCCCTTGCACATAAGTTATCATAAAAATCAGCACTGCGATAGAAATCATTCTGACCTGTGTTGAATGGAAGAAAATTCAGAAAGGCATATTTCTCTTATCAATTGTTTAGGAGATTGATTGTGCAATTCCTAGGTGACACCGTAAATGTTACTGATATAGTCACGATAATGTTATCAATTACTGGATTGACCCTTGATAAGCAATACGATTAATAAGACTATAAGATTTTCGAAGTAAGTCTCTTACTTTGGTAGCGTCACAAAACTTTTAACACTTAATGATTGCATTTTTAACAAAGAAAACTCAGTAATATTTTACCATTATTTTTGTGATCATTAACATATTTTATCCTTTAATTTATAGCTATAGAAAATCAAAGGTAAAAAGAAAACCAAAACCTGAAGCCTCTTACATTTATTATGCGAAAAATTACTTTGTTTGTTGTTAATGTTCCTACTTTGCAATAGGCATCAAACATACTTTGGCTTAGTTGAAAATGGAACTTGTTTTGATTGCAAATTCTTCAAATGGAGACGATAAAATATTCTCTTAAAATTGCATCACAATCTCTATACACCAGAAAAATATCTTCCTCTTTAGAGCGTTCTAGGTATATATGTAGGACAAATTTTAAATCAGTGCATGATATTGACCGGTTATACTCAGCAATTAAAAGTCCGATGGTCACGTCTATTAAAAAGTCCGATGGTCTGCAATGTTAAAATTTTCCAAACCCCATTTGGATGGTTTGACACGTCAACAAAGTCCGATGATGCTGAAAACAATTAACGTTTATTACGTCATAGTACTACTGCGCAAAAATGCATCTTTTGGATATAGGTGCGAGACTAGCCCTAATCAGTCGAAGAATGCGAAATACTCATTTACTATAACCTAAATATATTGGGTGGGTGTTTGGCTAATCCAAATCAGTCGAGGTCTAGGCTAACCTTAAAATCTCTCGGGTGGGTTCGAAGAAACACATTATCAATCCAGTTTAGTGTTCAAGAACTATAACCCTTATCAGTCGAGTGGTGTGCGAGGACTAACTCTAAATTTGAATGCAGGACAACGTCATGACGTCGGAAAATTGTGACGTCATAAACGTCGATTGTTCCATCGCACTATCGGACTTTGGCGTATCAGACCATCGCACTTTAGCGCAACGTGTCTCATAGGAAACGAGCCATCGGACTTTGGCGTGACCATCGGACTTTGGCGTGCGTAAAGACAGCAAGCCATCTGGGTTTGGCGAGACCATCGGACTTTGGCGTCACCATCGGACTTTGGAGTCTTACATAGATGAGGAAAACAAATTTTAAATCAGTTACACGAACATAATATTGACCGTTTTATAGCTCGGTATTTAAACATTTCAATTAATTAATTTATGGCAGTTTCTTGGTTTGATTGTTAATTTTTTTTTACCTTAAAATGGAAGGGATGTGCAAGAAATGTTTCAATGCTACAAATTTTCACATTAAATTGTATACTTTTTCCCCATTTGGATGAACGGTGGGTGTGACAGGTCAACAAAGTATGCTTACTAATCCATAGAACAATATGGATCTTTACTTTTTAAAAAATTCTCTACAAATGTTTAGACATATGGATCTTTACTTTTTAAAAAATTCTCTACAAATGTTTAGACATGAATGAAGCATGTTTGTCTTTATCAATTTATATTTTGTTTGAAAGATATATAGCTCTGTCGTTTCCTTCTGGATATTTTCACTTCATTATGAATAATCACCATATGATTGTACAGCAGACCTGCTTATATACGTATTTTCCCAGTCAAAAATCTTGATTGGTATTAGTCTTACGATCAATGTATAATTTGATATGATATGATAAATATAATTTATATATTTATAGATAGATATAGTTATATAAATATTTTCTCGTATAATGTATAATTAACTTCCATTTATAAGCCTTGTGGCCTTAGGGTTTTTGTTGTCGAACTACCATCTTTGTTTGTTATCATTTTAAATTTAATCTAGATCTATAAAAGATTTACGTGCTGCTAAAGTGTAATTAAGGAGGCTTTTATTCGTTATTTTTACGTCTCATTGCGTTATGAAGAGGGCCTATATATTTCTGGGTCCATAACTCTATACACGTGAAACTCAAACCCATTGGTAATGAAGTAGACAGAATTAAACCATCTTCTTCCGCCTCTTGTTGGGCAATATCTCATTTCATTTAATTAAGCAAATGTTTATTTTACGGAGCCTCTGTTCTTTATAATTTTACTAGATCCCATTTAAAATTCAGTGTATTTTGTGCGATTCAGCCACTCCATTACGACGTAATTCCAATCCAGGGGTTTCTCTAGTGAGTTCAATTAGAAAAGCTTATATTTTTAGTTAAACCAGCACTGGCAGATTTGATAGCTAACCTTCTCATTATTTTGTTGTTAATTTTGTTTACAACTGTTTATTTTTTTATCATGTCATCTTGTACTTTGCAAATTCCTCTCTCAAACTCATGAGCAGGTATATTAATATCACTTCCAAGATTATTTCCTCGGAGTCATACCCAAATGTCAAATAAGGGCCTCAAAATGTAGACTTTTTTTCTGTTAACTCTGCATCAACTGCCACTGAACAGTAAAGATCTTTATATACTTGCCAGTTTTTAATGCAATGTTTTGAGTGACCAACTGTTTCTTCCCTTTTTATGATACTCTAAAATCACATTTTCATGGATTCAAATTTTCAAGGTTTAAGGAAAAGAATATTGGTTTGCGATCAGGGATTTAATTTCGTGGTTATAAAAAATGTGTAGTAGTAATGCATCTGGAATTTTACATTTCGTGGTGGTCATAAATTTGTGGGTCTCTCGATACCTTGAAAATCCCCACGAAAATTGGTGATTTTAAATGTGCTGGCCCGTTTCACAAAGTGACTGCTCTACTCTTTTTTTTTTATTAGTTGAATTATTACGATTATGCAAAGGTGGACAAAAGGACAGCAGTCTTTTGAACAGTTGTAATATTTCAAGCTCTGAAAATGGATTATATTCCAGACTTAGCGGAGATTTCTCATTGAAAGGTGATTAATCAGCCTGATAGTATGGGGGAGTTTTAAGTTAACTCAATACTTTATGACAAATTGTTCACTTTAGAAACAATTTCCCCTGATTAAATAAAATGATGAATTTTTTTTTTCATGAAGTATTGGTGTAAAAATAAGTGGGAGGTGTGAGAAATTGATAACTTTCACAATATGAAAACAAATCCATTTAAGGAGTAAAATGTCCATTCTAGGAGTGTATGTATGTTTCAAACCATTAGCTTTTGTTGAACATTAAGCATTATATCAATCGATTGTAAAATTAATGATGATGCATATAAAGATCATTCATATTTTATCAGTAACATTGACATATTGTTTATTACCATTGGTTTGCAATACACAGAGATGAATCATAGATTAATTAAGGGAAGAAAAAACATAAATTTATTCAGACACAGGACGGAACATAACCTATATTTACATACCACCGGTACAAGCTTATATCTCTTAACTACATTTATACCCGTAAATAAATGAGAAAATATTCGTACATTCCCTTTTTTAGACAACATTGTAGGCTACTGTTAATTCCAAATAAACAATAGAAGACGTACATATGAACCTACCATGTAAAGTTTGGACTGTAGACAATATCACAGAAAATTAACTTTCCCGTCCCATTCAACATAAAACGTATAGGATAAAGCTATTTATGATATTTTCACCATTGAATAACCGTAGAAATATCATATGGCTTTGTCGAATTGTATTCAAATATCAGAAGTGCGATAAACTCGAGATTTTCGTTACCGTCATAAAGTTAAATTCTATATAATAATTAAAATAACAGAAAATAAAAGAAGATTCTGACACAGATCACTTGGCTTTAACGTCTTATGACCGCTAAACTATGACGTCACAGCGAACGACAGTGCATTGAGAAATTACTATTCTAAGCAAGGGAAAATCAAAGAAAATGTTATAAGTAGAAAAATATTCTTTTTCGTATTTAAATACGAAATTTTAACTCCAGAGAGAGAAAGTTTTTTTTTAAATTTTCACTTGTGCTAAGCACTTGTGGAAATATAAAAATGTCCTGTACCACTCGTAAAAAAAATTCCTTTTCCAATTTCAAAATTTTGATTATCCCCTATATACACAACATAAATGTTATAATTATAACGTTTAAATACAAGCAGGGTGGTTGCAGACGACTGTAAATCAACAAATATATGAAGATGATATGTTAAGCATAGAAAACAATTTTGTTTGTCACTTGAAAAGGTCAATTAATCTGTTTCAAAATGTTGGTATCAAATTAGCCTCTTCTCGTTCAAAATGTTGTTCTCAAGAAAGCATATGAGAGTAGTTTTGTCATGAACATCCGCATTCTGTCACTATCATTCGTGGAAGAATGCTTACAATCACCTTTCCGGTTTTGTCAAAGTACATTATACGTAAAGGTTTGTGTTTCTTCTCTGTGCAATGATATGTATAATTGAGCTTCCGGTCCCCATACGAACCGGAATTACAACCACCACTGCACATATTAGTCTTAAAAGATGGCGGAGAAATGACCCAATCACTCCATCCTGCTTCCGCGAAAGAAAACACTAGTGGTAATTTACAACACTGGTTTGTTTCTGTATCACATTCATTGGACTCTCTTTTGTCCCGAATATTAATTTTTGTATGGATGAGTAAGAAAGGTCTCGTCCTACTCAATTTCCTGTTATCTAGTTTCCTGGATCTCATTCGATGTCTCTTTCGTCTAATGGTTTTACCATTACGTTTCCGTTTCCGCTTGGTGCCATGCAATAGCACCAATTTGGCAAACTTCTTGCAGCCCTTGCAGCGGATGTGCAACTTGATATTGGTATTATCAGATTTCAGAGCAGATTCAATTAAAGATTTTGGCAAGTACAGCTTAAACCAATTTGTTCTAGAAATTTTGGCTTTCCGCGAGGAAATTTGTCGTAGTTTTCGTCCCTTTTCATCAACAGTGCTTAAAATGAGTCTTATCCGCCTTGCCTTTACTTTCTTTCTGAAATTCTTCCGACGTCTCTTAAATTTCACTTGTACAAGTACACTTGCACTCTGTATATCATGTGTACGGTTATCCTTTGTCATTGAGAATTGGAAAATATTATCTTTCGTGATATTCTCTGCAATATTAAAAAAGGAACAAGTGAATTATCATTATAAAAAAACAACATAAATATTTTAAGTATCTCATATTACAGACTAACATATTTGTCATTAAAGTTAGCAGTAATGATATGTTCAGCTACATAGAGGGAAAATAAAGAAACAGAGTATAAATAACTTAATATTTTTGAAAAATCTAAAAGAATTTTACATTTTTACGATAAAGTTAATTACATGATATGCAAAGAATAGCTTTAAACAATGGCTGACTATTTTGTCTATGTAACCTGTAACTTGCATGCATTCACTTAACATTTTTATATCAATAATCTTGAATTTTAACGACTATCAGCATTCTTTTGTATTATCTATCTATTTCCACAAATAATAGTTGAGTTTTGATTAAAACATAGTCAGAAAATTCAATCACGTACTTAATAAACCGAAATTTAATACGTAATATTTGATTTTAATATTTAAAAGCCTAAGCATTACCAGTGTTAAATCCTATTCTCAAGTGTTTACTAGTTTACTTATATCTTCCTACTTAAAAATTTATATGGTAGTTTTCCCGGTAAAAGTCATCCATGCGTAATGACATTTAATCTTTACAAGCAACTTGTTAAGTTAGACTCAACAACCAAAATCAGCCTAACACTAACCTGCAATTAAGTAGAAAAAAGTGTGGAAAAGTAAGACAGATGGACAGAAAACTAGCTAAGCTGCTTTACAGACAGACAAACGGGCAGCTACAAAGATAGAAAGACATACAAACGGGAAGCTACGCAGAAAGACAAAGAGACAGCTAAACAGAAGAACAAACGGACAGCTACACAGACAGACAGACAGGCAGAAAAACAAAAATACAGACAGACAGCTACAAATACAGACAACCACACAGCTAGACAGACAGACATACAGACAGACAGACAGACAGACAAAGGAGCAACTAAACAGAAAGACAGTTACACATACAGACAGCTGATAGGGAAGCCCACTGTCTAATTCTCTTTCGCAAGTAGGAGAATAACAAACATACAAGTGTGAACATCTAAAGGTTATATATAGAGCGATTCTGTTATATATATCTAACGATTATATATAAAGCATTTCTGTTAAATATCTAACAGTTATATATATAGAGAGAGCATTTCTGTCAAATATCTAACGGTTATATATAGAGCATTTTTTGTTAAATATCTAACGGTTCCATATAGAGCATTTCAGTTAAATATCTACGGTTATACATAGAGCGTTTCCATTTTAAACATATAAAGGTTACATATATATAGAACATTTCTGTAAAATATCTAACGGTTAAAAATAGAGCATTTCTGTTAAAAGGCAAGGAATCTTTACGCTTAAAATTATAATGCACGTGAAGCAGTGGTCTGTTCAACCATCGAATTCAAAGGTGTTCTTAAACAGAAGGCAATTTGAATGAAAATAATCTTCATTATTAACATATCAACCTTTATTGTTCATTAAATAATAAAATTCAAAAGAACAACTCATGCTCAATTTAATGTCAATTTGATAAATTTAAGGGTATCGATCACATTCTTCTTGGAGAAAACAGTAAACTTCCCCCCAAAGTTTAATTCCAGAAACCAGTTTTAAATAAGCAAGCAATTGAACATTTTGATACTGCGGGGGAAAAAGAATTCTTGCATACCTTCTGAAGAAACGAATTATTTTTAGAACTTGTTTAAGATATACTTCAAGGTATTTGGCACAATGTTCTCCCGCTGTGTGCCAGCGGTGTGATGAATTTACGGATAATCAATTGTACATTGAACTATATATAACAAGAATGTATCAGGTTTTATGTTAGAGGCGACTTAAAATATACATTTTGATCGTTTATTGTATCTTATACAGATGTGAAAGAAACCTTAATAATGTTTCTGTTTGGTATTCAAAGCACGAATGAGACAAAGGCACGAATTGCAACGAATGAAGGCACAATTGAGAAAAAACTCATTGCAAACAATTTAAAATTTTACATTTTTTTCTAGGAAAAAAGAAATTAAAAAAAGAAAGGATTACAAAAAATATTATCCCAACTATTGCTTTTATTTTAGTACGAAAAACTGAGCAATCACTTTTGATTTTGTAGGATACCCTGTGCCATTGCTTTGGAGATGCAATTAATTTGAATAATTTCACTAGCAAAGCAATGTAGATTACATAGATATGTAAGTGCTCATTTTAAGATAAATCCGTCGTTTCGCAAAGAGTCTAGAATATATGAAATTCAAAAATAAAGATAACGGACATAATTATTGTTAAATTTTGAATAGCAAGGTCAGATTTTAATGTTCTTGACATTTGTAATACCAACATTGAACAAGTCTGTTTATCTTGTTCTTAAATTATACATTTAAGTTATTTTCAGAAGCATCAGGGTATTTTAAAACAATAGGCATCTATTTACGTTATGTATATAAGCAAGACTTAGCATTCTTCAAGAAGGAAACGGTCTATCACAAAGTTTAGAGCATATCTATTAAAAATAAGTCTTTAAGTTTATCGTCGCCTATGGTTTATGGATAAAAAGGCCTCATTACGTTTTTGTTTTGATGATACGTTTTCGTAAAATATGAAGATTACGTACAATAATCAAGCTCAGAAGTTCATGGAAGCAATACATTTACTGGGAGCAGAGAAAACTCGGACATCTTAAAATATCAGACGTGGGATCAGGTGTGAAAAAGATAGAGCGACCTCTGTTAACATGTCCCCCTTGACATGATATAAGAAAAAGAAAAATCCGTATATAATTCAGCGTGAAAATTATGTCAAGATAATGTGACACAATTATTCACGTTAAGTTCCGTTTGCATTTATCCATGTTCTTGGATGCCTGTAAATATGACTGGTCAGCAGGGGATGCTCACTCCTCCATGGCACATGATCCCACCTCTGATGTTTTAGAGGTCCGTGTTTGCTCTGCTCTTATTTCGTATTGTTTTATGGCCCTTGATATTGAATACTGTTCGTTATCTCCATTTCCTTCATTTTAGGAGGAAAACGCTTTAGAAAAGAATAAGACGCAAAATTACGTTACAGTTTCTTTGGTTAAACTTGCTTAGATTTTAATTTTTAAGTATTATACAAATATATCTGTGTATATCCTAAATTTCATTATCATGATGGATTTAATTTCTTGTGTATTTAACTTATATTTATTTGCTAAATTTTAATCCGTCGGGATATTCAATACTGCCTGAAAATATTTCCTTTTCAAGGTCATTGACGTCTGTTATTTGTACATACACGTATCAGGTATTTTGTTCCTATTATATCCCTGTGACAACCAGCATCACTGTACTATACTCTTTGAAAAAACAATATATCCTATCACTTAATTAAGCCTGTCTACTTATCGAAAATGGTTATAAAAATGGTAACAATAATAACCATTACTACACCTACCGAAAATGGTAATAGTTATGGTAATATTAAAAACAACTTACCGACCGGTTCGGAAAAGGCAATAATTTCCTGAATTTCGGAGAAGTATCCGTTGTCTTGTATGGGTGTTGTATCTGTTTTCTTACTTTCTTGTGATGTGGCACCTGGGTCGTCGTGCACTGGCCTACCGAGTTTGGTCAAGATGGCGTCCCTTATGATTTTTAAGCTTCGTTCCCTCTGTATCATTTTGTTGAAGTCCATTTTCTTACCGGGAAAAATATTTGCATTGATACTGCATAAAAGTACGTAGAAACTGACGATCACTCCGTAACATCGAGGTGATATGACGTGAACTTTAAATATCATCTTCTTCCCTGGAATGCTTTAAAACAGTTAAGTGGTAAATGGAATCTCTCAGGTAAATGGTACTATCAGAGAAGCAAAAATATCAAAGGGAAATAAAGAAAAGCCACATGCACTTTGAACATCAGAGATGATTACTGAGTCCCTGTGCCGCTACAGGCTTCTGTTTCCCCAGTGATACGATGTCAATTGGCGTTCGCTTTAATAGAAGTCTGCTTCAGCAACAATCAGTGTATTCATATGAAGAAGGGTCACAGCATTCAATCCTTGTTAACGGTGCGGAGGCATTTTTAAAACCTTACCAGCATAATATTTATTTCTGTGATTTGGCCAATGTATGGAAGTGATTCTTCGTGATAAAATATTTGTCAAAATGCTTATATATATACATATATATATATATATATATATATATATATATATATATATATATATATATATATATATATATATATATATATATATATATATATATATATATATATATATATATATATATATATATATATATATATATACAAAGACTTTTTGACAATTTTAGAAAGATAACAAAATAAACGGACACTTTTTTCATTTAAGAAAGTTAAAAAAATATAGAGAAATGTTTCTTTGTCTTTATAGTAAGGGAATTTTAGTTTAGTGGAACTAATTACATTGTACATTATAAGCTTCAAATATGAAGACAACGAACACAAATCAACCCACTTAATAGTACAAATTTGTTTCGAGAAAATAACGCATAACTTATCTTTTGGTTATAATAGATGAAAATCAGAGTAAACTAACAGTATTCAATCTCAAAGTCCATTCAAATTTAACATGTTGATGACATCATAAAGTGAAGTCCAGTTAAACTGTGTATACTAAATACACGTGTATATATACTTGCCTTATAAGACGTCAATTTGAAAGATTTTCGGATTCATTACAGCTTAATACTAAAACTGCTTTCCTTGTTAAAAAGAAGATTTTCTTAAAGATTTTTCAATGTCATGTATAGCATTCATTTGATTTCTTTACTTTTGTTCAACTAAAATAAAGTATGCCTCATAATAAACTTAAGACTCTTAAAAATGTAAATAAAAAAACACTCATAATTACCCCATGCGCTACATCATTTAACTAGGTGAACAAAAAATTATTTTCAGTATATTCTGTTGAAATTGGCAGGGAACATCAAAATATGTCGTGTAATTGATAAAATTGGCGTTCTAGAATTGGAAAGGAGAAAAAAAGGAAAGAAATACATAAAAAAAATGTTATCTTGAATTTGATTTTTTTGTTTTATGCTGATGTACGACTTTATTAAAATTTATGCTAGACTGTATAGGGCAACGAGATTTTGATCTGAACGCTTTCCTCCCATTGCTTTTTACGACTCTAGTTGTCTCGAGTTTGAATTTCTTGTTGTAAACGTCGGCTTTAAATTGTCTGAGTTTTGGAGAAAAAAATGTAATCTTGAAGTAGTGCGTTAGGGTAATGACAAAACGAAATGATGAAAAGACGAAAACAGAAATTTCAAGGCTGAAAAATGCCAATCAGTGCCATGGTGGGAGGTGGAGAAATACGATTTTATTGTTCAGTTTGGTTTCTTTTTTTGTCTCCTATTTCGCCTAAAGTTTAAAAGTATTCCATAAACACTCTCTGGAAGAAAAATATCTTAAAAATGCAAATTTATTGTTTAGGCAAATACACAGTGAAAAATACATTTTTTTTACTCAATCTCTTTTATTGTTTTGCATGTAGTTAAAAGTTTTTTCATACATTTTTCAACCATAAAAAATACTCAGCAATTCCTAAATGCATATTGAATTGTCTGTTTTAAGTCATATTTCACATTGTTTGAATGCAAGTGTCTTGAATGTGAAATGCTAGTTTTTATTAAATTTTTCGCCTGCGTAAAGAAAAATAATAAAAAAAAAATCATCTGTTGATTTAAAATTTCGATGTTCAATTCCTTCTTATATTCCCCCCAAAAAATTCAACCAATGATTTTATTTTTAGCACTTATATGAGGAAACTACGTATGTATAAAACACGTACTAATACACTGGTTCTGCATTTTTCTGTATTATACACTTGCTTCTTGCATTCAAATCTTCCTTTAATATTTGTATTTCTCTCATTTTGTTATTTTTTTCACTGCACTTTGGAACCTAATTATTGCTCAATATCTTCATAAATCATTGTATGTTATTCATTTTAAACGAGCAATGAAAGATATCAAGGGTATTATTTTTCTAAAATCGAACTTTTTAATGTTAACTATTTCATATTCGTAAACAGACACGGCAATTGAATATTTGTGTATTAATATACAATGTATACTTTAAAGAAAAAAGGCGAGATCCCCATCAAGTGTTTACATTGTATATATGCAAGCTTCATACAGAAAACGTTTGAAAGATTCTAACATAAAATATTTTTTTTCTGAGACTATTTTTATTAATTCATATTTGTGTGATTAACTAGAAAAATACGTTCTTCGCCACCTTGCATTAAATCTCTATAAAAGTAATGACTTAATCTTTTCTTTCGGCAACCTCCCTTAATTATGTAGCAATATATCTTATTGCATGTATCTAAGGTCTACTTATTCCAGTTGATTCGATACGCAAAATTAAGCATGTTCTTAAACGAGGCAAGCCATTGACAAACAAATTGAAAAAAAACATGGATTAAGTGTCTCGTTCTAAATCCTTATTTTGCAAGTTCTGTGGTCGATTCAATAACTATGTTAGTAAATACAATGTATTATTTAGTCTTATGTGGACTGACGTTATACATACTAATTGTTAGACTTTATTCACAAATTGAATTTTCTGCAGAATTTTCCGTTTGCCCAATGACAAGGAACACACGGCGTGGATGACCCGTCTATATCGGATGCCTACTCCTCCATGGCACCTGATCTTACATCTGATATTTGTAGAGGACCGTGATCGCTCTGTGCCACTTAACTTATTATTTATTTACATTTGAGTTTCATTACCGTTTTTCACTAATTTCATATTTCATACATATGGTCAAAATTTACCAACATTTATGTTTGTTGACTGATGCATGCTCTATTTGTTGGTTTTTCTTTTACTTTCTAAAAATCCACTTATTTCCATATCAACTTTATTGTTTTTTTTAACATTTAATGTTTAAAAACCATGGAAAAGAACCATTGAATTACCGAATTACCTAAATTCTTTGATATAAATGTAAAAAAAAAAAACCAGAATGTTTCAAAGAGAATATTCCAACTCAGATGCCTTTTATCGGTTGTGACAGATTAAAAATTTATTTCCATTTCTTGCACACATTACCGACGTAGACCAAGAAACAAAAAAGAATTATTAAGATGATTAGATTTGTTTTAGCTCAAAACTTAATTTTCATAAAATCGTTTTCGAGCAATAAAATTTGTTTTCATTCTTCTGTGAATAAGATCATTCTTTTAATAGCTGACTATTGCCAGCATTTAATACATTACAATAAATTTGTACATGTGAGCTGCCAAGGAAGGGGAGAGTCTTCAGAGAATTTAAGATCTTTCTTGTTATAATTCTCAAATACTCGCTAGTTAAAATTAGTCTCAAAAAGAATTACATAAACAGTGTCATGAAAAGCTAGACATTAATAATCGACAAAGAAAATACAGACATACATACAAATAAAAAAACAAACAAGAATAATTTTTTTCACTTTTTAGATGAAAATAAAAAAGATTGAATTTCACAGCAGATTCGATGTATAACTTTAAAATGTGGCGAAACGTCCCAGAATGCGTTTAGTAAAGTTATGATAGCTGCAGGATATATGCACAAACTGGAACTCCATTGTGGAACTTAAAAATGCAGATGGTTAATTTAACTGATACTTTTTTGACTAAAAATATATAGAACCACGCTTTACCCAAAAAAATCATCACCTATTTATCGGTCTTTTTTAAAATACAGAAAAAAAACCCAGTTAATACATCGAGAAATTGGCATGTTGGCTCTGTGTTCCTTTGTTGTTGTTTTTGTAATATTTTAACATTTGGCATGGACTGAAAATTAATCCATAACTCTAAACAAATTGTTAGAAAATAAAATCTGAATCGAGTGAGTGATGTTTTAATTTTCTTTTAAGTATTTCAATGTAAATACAATGTAGGGTTTTTCTTAATTTAAACTTATATCAATTTTAACATAGCCTAATTTGTGTCCTGTTTGCGCCTCAAATTCGATTAAGAATTCTAGAAATGTAAAGCTGATTGACATTAACTCATTAAAAACTATTTCATAAAACATTTGTTTTCTTATTTCACTAATATCTCAGGTTTTTTAATCATAAGACCAGTATGTATGTGATTTCTATTAAAGCATGCTCAATTACTATATAGAATTTAGGTTAAAAATCATTTTTGGTCAATAATATATTATAGCTGTATGACAGTAATATATTTCATCACTACTCATTGTAAAGGAAATTCGGTATAAATAACAGGAAAGGCAAAAAATAAATAAATAAAACGGCGTTTTTCAGAATTTTAGTGACCATATTTCCTGTTTAATATTATCATGCCTCTGGTTTGTATAGTTGTCGTATCAATGTATCTAAAGAGCAGGGTAAGGATATTGGTTCTTAGAAAAGTAAAAATATTGCACTTTTATTCTGATTTATGACATGTGTAAAGTGATGAAGAGATAAAGATAATTAAATAGATAGACGTTTCTTCCATTGCTGACATTTTTCACTGATGAGTGATTAAAATTTGTTTGATGACTCAGCAGCGTTCGATTTAAGTATGTGATTTTGCGAGTCTAGCCGTATTTCTTTGAAGTAATTGGTTCAGATGACACCTAAATATATTGAAAAATAAATTACACTTGAATAAAGAAGACTTTCGGTTTTCTGCAAATTGTTGGGTGATATGATCTCAATAAAGACGAAAGGCAAACATTGTTACTTGTGAATAAATTTAATAATTGTCATTTTGTAACATGAAATAGTTTAAAGATTTTATTTTATATAGAACAAATTATGAAATCTTAAATATATTCTCACCAAAAACAAAAAAGATATGTTGTTTCACGTCATATTCGATAATTTTAACTCATGTTGAGACGTCATTATATACCGGTAAAGGGCTGTAAATTTTTACCTTTTCTTAGCACTCAAGGCCACTGAGCAGTGAAGGATCTTTATCATCCCAACGACTGTCGTGAAACGGGACCACGATTTTTT